GGGTGTTGTTTTAGGGATGGTCAAACTTTAATCATTTTCATTAAGCCGGACCTGGATTATAATTTTTTTAGTGGATCGATAAATTGTTTAAAAGGTGTAGATTATCTGTGCAAAATATGAAGTAATTATACTGAGTGATTCAAAAGTTATAAGTCCTGAAAGAAATGGGTCAAATTCAAAAAACGCCCTGTAACTCGGTTATAAAGAGCGTAAGACCCATACTATATAGGTTTTTTGGGATCCCCTGGGTGACCTCTATATAGGGTTAAAATCTTTTCGTTTCGGAATGAATCACCCTGTATAATGAAGCTTTCACTTATTTGAAGATTTTCCTCATTTCATTGTTTTAGATAATAAAAAAAATTGTTTTAATCCGTGTCCGTAGGTATATAGAATCGTACTTTATCTTTCATTTTAATTCCTTTTATCCTACTTAATTACTTCATCCATTGAATATAATTTATGTATAGCTTCCCACTCGTCGAAATTTCCACGTAACTTCTATCCCGTTATCTTAAGCAATCCCTTTATAGTCCTTTTTATTAAACGAAATTCCTAAAATAGGTATGACAAACGAATCCTTCCAGTTTCGCCTTAAAATTTCGATTCACCTGCAATCCGAAACCTCCTTTGTGCCGTCTTCTTAACGTTATCGCCCTCATTTGTAAGCCTGTACAGTTGTAGAACTGAACAAATTATTTATTTCGCAAAATATCATGGAGACAAATTTCCTTTCGTGCGCTAGGCGTATGTTTTAAAACGCACCATCAGTCATACTGATGGGATAGTTTATAGTATGTTTGAGACATTATTATAAATATATTTAGGTCATGCAAATGTTGATGCCTTTCTTTATAATATTATTTATAATAGTAGGTGATGTGGTGGAAGTTAGCCCCGCCTTTTTTAAAAAATCAAAAATTGAATGTTGTGCTGTGTTGTGCTCCTCATGTGCTATTCTGTGCCGATAATAATTTTTGTTAATTTTGAAAAACAAAAAAGTTATACGTTATTATTTTTAGTTTTAAATTTTGGCGGTTCCGCCTTTTTCGTTAATTTAAAAATTGAATATATTATTAAAATGTGTAATATTTGTGCTGTCTTGTGTCGTTGAAGCATTGTGCTCCTTAATTATGTGCTATTTTCTGACGATAATATATTTTATTATTTTTAAATTTTAAAGCTTTTAATTGTTATATTTTAATTACCTATATTGGAATGTCTATCGCTGGAGAGGGAAGCGTCGAGATTCGGTCTCAAATCCATTTTTGTAGTCAGTATTTATAATATATTCATTGTTACACTACTCCAACAGTATTATTTTAACGCTTATCGTACCGATATTTTAACGATTTTAAAGAAAAACAGTTCGATTTTTTGTGTTCTACTCGTAAAGTGTCGTGCAAACATTAACTTTTGGTCACATTTTCTGGAAGTAGACAGTTACTAGATTTATATAGTTTTTAAAAAGGTACATGTAAAGTTGTCGGAGTTAATGAATTTGTTCATCCTCATTTGTGTGTATATTTTATACAGTAATAAATATTTTTGTTTTATAATTCTTTTATTGAAAAATAATAGTCTCTATTTAGTAATAAAATTAAAAATAATCTTTTAACAGCACAAGAGAGCACGAATACATTTTAACAATATATTCAATTTTTAAAAGTTCACCAAAATGGCGAGGCCGCCAAAATTTAAAAATAAAAATAAAAATTTATAACTTTTTTGTTTTTTAAAAATAATAAAATATATTATCGTCAGAAAATAGCACATAAGCACACAATGCTTCAACGACACAAGACAGCACAAATATTACACATTTTAATAATATATTCAATTTTTAAATTAACGAAAAAGGCGGAACCGCCAAAATTTTAAACTAAAAATAATAACGTATAACTTTTTTGTTTTTTAAAATTCATATAAAATATTATCGGCACAGAATAGCAAACGAGGAGCACAATACAGCACAACATTCAATTTTTGATTAACTAAACATTTTGAGGGAAAAAATATGTTAAACATACCTAACTTTTTTAATTTTCAAAATAAAAAAAAATTTTTACGGCACAAGACAGCACAAATATAACACATTTTATTAATGTATTCAATTTTAAATTTAACCAAAATGGCGGGGCCGGTCAAATAAAAAAAAAAGGAAAAACGTATAATTTTTTTGTTTTTCAAAAATTATAAAAAATATTATCGGCACAGAATAGCACATGAGGAGCACAATACAGCACAACATTCAATTTTTGATTTTTCAAAAATGGCGGGGCTAACTTCCACCACATTAGTAGGTGCGTCTAAATGTGTACATTTATTTTATAGACCAGGGGTGAAGCCTTTGAAAATGGTAAAAAGAGAAAAAAATATAGTTGGATGAAACCCATTGGAACAGGAAGAGAATATAACAGAAATGAAAGGAAAAATAATTTACGGGCGATCCGATGTCGGGAAGTGGGAGTGGGTGAGTTTTTTAAGGGGAAAAACCGGCTTATCTCGGTTTCCGGCAAAACTACAAGTCCTATGAAAAAACGTTAAATGGCAAAGTTGTAAGCAATAAAAAGATCTACAACTTTTGTATTTACACTTTTTTCACATCACCTCAACATTTATATGAAAAATTCAAGTAACCAAGTTTTTGGTTTTTTATTTTTCTTTTACAAAATTTTTTTTTACGAAATTTGGTGAAAACTTACCTTTTTATGTCCCAAACACACTGTATTTTTTTTATTTAAATTTTTTTTCACCTAATTTTGACTTAACATCGAAAAAATTCTCTAATTTTCAATCGAAAATTCTCACGTCAAAATATCTGCTTTTTTAAAAAAATGGTGGCCTTTTTGTTCGTTGAAATCTCTACTTTTTAATGGTGTAAAAAATATACATTACTATGGAAAATGTTCGCAAAAAATGCAAAAACCGTTAGCCAGTATTCGACATACAGAGCAGTGAGCAGTGACAAATTTACTGTAAAAGAATCTGCATTTTTTGACCAAAGTTTTCACCAAATTTCGTGAATTTTTTTTTTGTTTGTAAAAGAAAAAAAACAAAAACTGTTATATTTTCTTTCTTTTCCAATGTTGCTTTCGTTTCCAAATTCAAAAATTATCGACCCTGGTCTATTAAAAAAATATTGTTTCTCATATTTACATACAGGGTGGAAACGCCAAATGGAATAAATTCAATATTTCGGTTACTGAACAAATTTAAAGAAAACCCCAAACACGTCAAATTTAAATTACAATTTGACATTCCTTAACGTCTCAATGTGAGCCGTATCTTCAACCCCCTTCGAAAGACAGTTACAACCCTTTTTTTTAATGGGAAGTACCTATAGGCTTGTGATGTATCGTTTGAAAGGTCTCTTTATTCTCTATCCAAAAATGTAATTGTTTTTAAGTTTATTTCAAAAATTAACGAAAAAGTCGTGGAGCTCGCGCAGTGAGCGAGAAATTGGCTATACAAATGTCTGATCTTTTTGGGGATATATTTATATAAAATGAAAAAAAAAGATAAATAAGGTAAACATCAATGACTAAGCATCGCTGAAGATTTCTCTTGACCGCACAGGATGATGAATATCCACTTTGTGTGTACTGTATACATGGGGGTTCTTTTGAATGGAAACTTATTTCCCATCAAAGGATCGGCAAATAAAAGCGTCCGCCTGCGTTTTCATTTCGAAGTATGTATATCCTTTTTAGGGAGAAGAAAAGCTGCTCTATTTATTTCCAATTTCCAATATGTTCGTGGTAAACTTGAAAAATATGTTTAAACAAAAAAGAAAATTACTTTCATATAGCTAAGGAAGAGTAGTGTATTTCTAATAATTTACAAGATCCCCATACTATTCATCCAAAACCGGGGCACAGTTAATACAAACTTAATACCTAGATTCCGCCCGCTGTATGTCGTGCTCGGAGAGGTATGCGTTCTAATTAACAGAACGGGCGGGAAAGTAAATTATAAAATCCATATTTTAACCCGAAACCGACGACAATCTCTACTGTTCCAATAAATTTAATATTTGTGCCCAACAAAGCACCGTGTTTTCCAAAATTCGGCGAGTCAGGTACTAATTGAGGGGGACGCTATTTCCCCCCGATACGCGGATGGATGCTTTTGTGAACTTTTCTGGATGTTATCCGACCCAACTTTATCGCACTGTTTGCTTACACAACTTTTCTAATCTTCTCCCAGTCGAAAAAACAACATACTTGCGACGATATCCGCCACGGAATTCCTAAAAATTTTACGGTTGGGCAAGAATTTGAAATTCAATGAAAGCAAAAAAACAAAAGATGAAATATTCTACTATTTGTAATTGTAATGAACACGAATGAGAAGAAATAAACAAATATCTACTATTTACAAACAGTGTAAGTCGGCCACAAAAATTTTTACAGTACAATTAATTCAATTTTGTGATTGCATATAGTGAATTTTATCCGATTTTTGAAATTGGTGTTGCATTTTAGAATTTTCTATCTAGTTTGCTATTCGAAAAGGATTCGCAAGAATAGCATTTCGTCGATAACAATGGAAATGTATCGGGATAATGTTCAGTTGTCAGAGTATTATTCAGTATTACACCGTTTCCTACAGAAATGTTGCATTTCCACAATACGAGGAAAGTATCTAGTGACAAGCGAGTTAAGAAAACAGAGCTAAAAGATAACATTGTAGAAGTTATACTGTGTATTGAGAATTATACCGGGTCGGTCCGATCTGTAATAGTGGAAGAGAGATTATTGAACAAGTGTAATTGTTGTTTTCATATTGGCATTAAAAGTATAGTACTTGTCTAATAGCCCTTGTAATAACAGTTTCTATGCATATTGTTATTATTAATGGTCTACAATGTTTATTTAATAAATATTTTAATCTAAATAAAAAAGTATTATTTATTAGTATACCTAAAAATATTAACATATTTTTCTTTTATTTTCATATTCATCATCTACATTGACACATCGCTGGAAAATCAACAGAGCACAATTAGAGTAAGTACATTTTGTCCCTTGTATGTATTTATAAAGTTTGTAGATATTTTATTAGGGCTTTAGGTCGATCCAGGAGAAGTTATTTGTCGCATGAAAAGCGACCCTGAAAATTCGCGAAAGCGTCCGTCCTCTTATATCCACCTAAATCAATTCCGATTGTAATTCCTACCCGCTTTCGTGATTTATCTTTCCCTATAAGAATCCAAGGAAATTCAAATATTTGTCGGTTACCTGTGCTCCTGCTTCGTAATGGGATAATAAATTCTCAAAAGGGCCACTCGCCCGGATATGTTGTATATCCAGTCGGAGAGAAATATTTAATTTACACACACCGCATGAATTTCCCAAAATATATTCCAATTAATATTTCTGTTTAATTTTAATTGAGATACGGATTGTTTGTGTAAAAGAATGTTCGTTAGGCGGTTAATTTAATTGAAAACCGGCGCGAGTAATTAATAAAAATAAAGCATCCAATGATAGTTACAATAAATACATATTCTGTATATTTCGTTTAAAAATACAGTAATTTAGATGTGCGAGTTAGTTATGCATATTTGAGTATATAAAACTGAGTATGTACCTATATTAAATATAAAATTAAAAAAAATTGCAGGACAACAGGCAGTCCTCAAGCGAAATCTCCAGCAGGCAGCAGTCAAGGAGCGCTTCCTTCCGAAGCCAGGACTCCCACAGCTTCTGCAAACAAGGGGCACCAAAATGTCAAGGGGGACCACCCATCGGTAAGCCAGGATGTAAGCATGATCTGTTTTCTTATTACCTAGCATCTAATGATCTTTTACTTCAGAAAATTTCACCTGTAATTATTCGATTTCAATCTCAAAATTCGTTCATTTCGTATATATTATCTTTAGAAAATGTTTGTGATAAAAGAAAAAATTTCTGGATTAAATGATACCTACTTGAAGGATATTAATGTGTTGAATGTACATATTTCAAATAATGTTAATATCTTTCCCATTTTATAAGCTAAATACTACAAATGTCTACTGCATGATGAAAATGTAGCAGATGTAGGACCTATACCGGATCGGCGTATTGGACATAGGGAAAATATACATTGACATTAAGATTTCTAAATAGTCCTGAACTCGTTCTAAATGGTTCTGGAATTTTGTAACTTATCTTGGACCGTTCCAAATAATCCTGAATCTATTCTAAATGGTTCTAAGATAGTCTCTCTTACACTTGTGCTATTCATATGTACCTACGTCCATATCTCTACGGTTCTACCCGGTCCCGGTATGTAATAATGATTCTAATAAATTTTAAAATTGGAAATTTTCATAAAAAAATTTAGCTTATAAATTGTGATTATTCTCTTCCGTTGCTCGATTGTTAAAAAGTATGAATATAAATTGGTTGTTAAATCGTAACATGTAAATTTGTTGTTACATATTTCGAATGTATACCTGTACCTATTAATGTCTTGGGAGCTGTCTGTGCCATAATTTCCCTACCAGCAACAATTAAATCTATGTGTATGTGTACGTTAATATAAAAATTTTAGAAACGAACAATGGATTTGATACAGTAAAAATTAATATGCTAGTGTGGGATATTTGTATAAAAATGTACAAAATATTCCGGCTACTTTTCAAAAAACTCCATTCTCTTGCTTCAAGGAATGTTCAGAATATAAATACTCGTATATTGGTTAATCAAAAATTATAAAACAAACCGAAGAGCACAAATATGTTGAATATTTGAGTGTTTGAGCATTGGGTTTTTATTCGTGCATATTTACAAAAAAAAAAGAATTTTCAATCTATACCTAATAAATAAAACGAATCGTTTTTATACGAAACGCACAACAAAATTCGACTCAAAATAAAATCCATTGGAATTGTTTCCTTATATATTTTTTGGTTCCCTATATTCCCATTCCTCATCGTCCTCGTGAACATGTATAGGTGTCGCATTTAAATGTTGCCTGTTACTGTCAATTTTATAGCTTATGAGAACCATGAAAATTACATAGCAAAATGATATGCTGTTCAACTGATAAATTGCATTTTTATTGACGATCAATTACAGTCGTTTATACGAGAATATGCGATCAATTATTAATGTTATAACTACGAAAACTTAGTATCTAATGTTTGAATTATACATATGTACAATGTAGAAGTTTAGTGGTTATATCCAGCTCTAGCTCTAGATTCTAGATAATTCCATATCTAACGGATGGTTTCATTATTTATAATCACTAACAAAGCCAACGTCGAGTAGTAAATTAAAACATTTATTGTTAATTTCAGTGTTCCAGTTTTTTAAATATTCTGTTTGTTAACCCACAAAAATGGAAAATCTATTCTGACAAATTGGAATAGGGATAATGATTAGTACATTGGTAGGACTAAAAAACACTATTATGATTATGTTTTTATTGTAAAACATATATTTTATTAATCAATAGATATTTTGATACAAATTATCAAATTACTAGGTTAAAAATTCTATTAAATAAATACACAGTGACAAAAAGGTACCCGGAAATTTGGAATAATAAACGCAAAATTTCTAATCCTTTTTTAATTTTTAAATCTTTTTAAATTGTTTTTGAAGAAAACTCAGCTCTATCGGAACGAGCCGAACCTTAGTTCGCAGCATGTCTGATTGGTTGAGCAAAATCAAATGAGCGGTTTAACGAAAGATGTTGAGGTCAAGTGCTACTTTTCTAACACTAGCAAAATGATTTTCGAACTCAGTTTCTTTAATTTTCTTCCTGTTATCATTGGTTAAAGAGGTCTAAGACCGTTCGAAACAACGAAAGTCTTTAACGATCTCCCGATTGTCTTTGAAAGTGTTGTACCATTCGTAAATAAGGGTATTCGATAAAACATAATCACCTTAAGCATTTGCATCGATTTGGCCCAAGAAATTCCGTTCTAAATTAAATATTCTAATTCTAATATTCTAATTCTTAAGGCCCGTTCTAATTTTTTGCATTCTGATTAAGAACAGTGTTACCTACATAATGAAACTAGAAATATTAAAAATATTAAGTGGGGTAATTTAAATTGTAAATTCCGGATAATTTTTTGTCACAGTATACATCAGACATATAATTACAGACATATAATAGAATTTATTGAATAAATACAAATAGTACCTGCAAAAGAAAATTGATAATATGCTGCACGTTGTTGCTTTGTTTAATAGTCGAAGATAATTTGAAACTATCCGACACACAATATTCCTTTGTAATGTGTTACATGTACCTAATTGGCTTCCTATAATTGTTGCTGTGTGATGTTTTCTATTAGATAAAAGACCCTCATGAATGCATTTTTGTGTAAATCGATGTAATTTATAAATTGACGTATAGAAAGAAAATTGGGAATTCTTCTGAATTACACCAACCAACTCATTTCCTTTCGTTCAAATAACATTTACCAACCGGTTAATTCCTCTTTACTTTATTCAGAATAGCACAAGATCTGCAGTAAAACGGTCAAAGTAAAAGAGTGAATTGCAATTAAATTGTCTTCTAGCTGGATTTTGAATTTCCTGTTGACCGTCAATCCTGAAGTCTCTGGGACGGGTTTTAATCAAATTAGGAAATCAAATCCTTTTGGAATGTTTGATCAAAGTATCTAATAGTTTCGTTTTTCTTTTTTCGTTTGAAACCTAATGAAAATTCTAAAAGGGGTTTTAACTTTCGAGGTTAATCGAATCGAATTGCTTCGTTATTCTTCAGGATTTTTTAGCTTTAAAAACATCAATTAAATTGTGCATTTTATTACAGCTGAATTGCTTAGTTATCTCAATTTTTGTACTTCATTCATTCATTCGTTTCATAAATTTTTGTTTAGGTATCGTGAAAAAAATGTAAAAAAATGCTTCTTCTTACTGGAGCGATTAATTAACTTTAAGCAAAATAAGGGAGTTATAAATTGGCCAGTAATTAATTTCCTTAACGAAGAATTCCAATTACGTGTTTAATTTGAACGAATGCCGTACAATTAAACTCCTTTCTTAATTGCCTTAAAAAAATTCTCCCTAAGCAAAATCGGTTTTATCAAAAGAAAAATACCGACATTATAGCCCACTTATCTCAAATTTATTCCTAATAAATATGAATCCAAACAGGACCTGTAACCGAGAAATTCGAGCCTAACGAATTTCCACTCTTCGTCTCGCTGTAATTAAATTGAGCAACCAGAAGGACGAAATACCAACTGATTAATTATAAATTAATACCGTCACGGTGCGGTTTCCTTTATGTTTCAGATGGCATTCCTTCAAAATCGCTCAATATCTCTGGTGGACATGTACATTGACAACTCTGAACCCTCAGAAAATGTAGGACAAATACACTTTTCGTTGGAATACGATTTTCAAAACACGACGCTCATCCTTAGAATTATACAGGTACGTTCAAAGAAATCACTTGATACATTTAAACCGGAATAGGGAAATATCACAATTCCTGCGCATATGACTTCGGCGGTTCCAGCTATTCCTGTCTGTCTTTACTTGGTAATTTCCATTGGATATAAGTACCCAAAGTTGGGATCCTTTCAAACTTAATAATTATTTTAGAAACTTGGTAATTAAATTCGCCCATCAATCATTAGATATTTAGTCTAAAAAATAATTGCCCATTATGAATTATGTCACGAAGGCAAAAATACGGAGGGAAAATGATTAAAGGCACGAGAGCGTATACAGTCGGGATCGATTAATCAACGGAGTGCGAAAAAAATTACCTTGCGAGCGACCGGCAGTTACACCTGATTGCCCATTGATCGTTTTCCATTAACTGGGAAAGCCGTTCGCACTTTTGTCAACGAAACCGAAGCGCCTCCGCTCGAAGTTTACATAGAGACAAAAAAAAATGGAATCGTCGATAAATTATTTTCGGTCGCGATGTGTGTAATTTTCGCGTTTTCGAAATCGAAGAAGGGGACTGGAATCGACAGAACCCAGCGGCCTGGAAACGCATTCTGATGGTAATTGAGGTGAATTTTTTGTGTATAGAGAAGAATCTCGTGTGATATATTGAATTCAAAAAAACCGACCTTCTCTATACGGGGGTTGATTCGTTAGAGCACTGATTTCGTTTCTAACTATCGTTAATTCTGTTGATAGGGTAAAGACCTACCGGCCAAGGATCTGTCAGGCACTAGCGATCCCTATGTCAGGGTGACGTTGTTGCCTGATAAGAAGCACCGTTTAGAAACGAAGATCAAACGACGGACGCTGAATCCTAGGTGGAACGAGACATTCTATTTCGAAGGATTCCCCATACAGAAGTTGCAGTCGAGAGTCCTGCATCTGCACGTCTTCGATTACGACAGGTTCTCCAGGGACGATTCCATCGGTGAAGTCTTTCTTCCTCTATGTCAGGTGAGTGTTCCATGAAAATATGGATAAATGGTGATTTGAATGGTGTATTTTCAACTTTAATTAATGAAAACCAGACCTTTATGTTTTGTATGATTACTTGCCGTGCTGGGAGCGTTTGTTGTTTGTACTATAACTTTAATTGTTCTTCTTTGTATATCGTCTGATTTATTCCGAATTTCGCATATAATGTTCTATTATAACATTTTCCAGCCATGTTTTCCAGACGGGTAAATACGGTTTAGAATTTTAAACAAGGGATATTAATTCCTTGCGAAGACTAACAATATTTACTGTCTCAAATTTACGCTTATGCAAAAGTTTGCTCAACCCTATATTAATAGCGAAATTACGATAAACCTGAGCGAATTGATATAACAAGAAATGTCCCAAGAATTTGTCCGGATTTTCATCTAGTTTGTTGTTAGAAAAACATAAATGTAAATACAGTTGGTGCAAAACAAATATCAATTCACGTCACCTAAAATTTACTACGTCACAAGTAGGCAGTGTTGCCGAACTGTTATAGAGTTTACAAAACCTAATTTCTAAATTTGTCAAATGGCAAAATAACAAGAACCAATTAAAAATTAGGGGTACCTGTTTCAGGTTTCTAAACGGCGGACGTATTCATGGGCTCACTATAATTAATCATCAAATTCCTTTATCATCTAAAATATATTTAACAGTGCGAGTAAAAAATTTAGTGTACAATTGACCCTTAAAAGAGTACATAGTAACATTTCTGAGAAAACTTCTGAATCTGAATTATTTAGAGCTCAAATTATTTAATTTCTAACCTGTGGAAAAGATAACTACGCAAAAAAATTGTATTTCTTGATTATTCGACTGAATAGCCTCTAGTAGTTGAGGCTAGTTAATTAGAAAAAAGAAGAAGAAATTGAAAATTAAAAGTACCGATCGGATGACAACGGCAACTATGCGACTTGACAGTCAGTGCCTACCAATCTACTATAAGAAAATAATAATAATCTTATATAAGACGTTATACAAACGTTTAATTTTGACAATATATATATTTTTGGATGATTTAATTCTGCTTTTTAACATTTTCTATCGTCACTTGTTAATATTAAATTAAATTCAGCAGGTATTAAGCTAAATCTATTTTGTGTATTTATTTTTAAATGTTGGGCACAATGATTGGCAAGTATGACGACAGTAGTGACGTGCATTGATATTTGTTTTGCACCAACTGTAAGTTAAAATATACAGTTAAAATAGATGCATGTAGCAAACTTTAGAAATATATATTTTTTGCAAAATTAAAAACTTCACTTTAAAGGCCTTTAACTTCTCATTGATATAGCCTAGCTAAAACCCAACATTCTTCCCTATATACCTACCTCTCTCCTTATCAATTCTTTCGAAAAAACACCCTGCATATACACCTCTAAACACCTTTAAATAAACAATACCTTTAAAATGAACCCTGCAATGAAACAGACGTTTTATTTGCGGTTTTCCTCGGTGCTTTGCAGGTTGATTTGAGCGAGAAACCGTCGTTCTGGAAAGCTCTGAAACCTCCAGCGAAAGACAAATGCGGCGAGCTGCTGACATCGCTCTGTTACCACCCCAGTAACAGCATCTTGACGTTGACTCTGCTCAAAGCTCGCAACCTTAAGGCCAAAGATATCAACGGCAAATCAGGTAATGTAAATTTATTTGGTATCACTTAAAGCGCCACCGTTTTTCTTTTACTCGTCTCATTTCAAACGCTCAATGACGAGCGAAGAATGCGAATAGAGCAAACGGGCGAATAGAAAAGTTAATTGGAACGAATAAATTCGTTGTAGGGGAGAGTCGGATATATCGAATTGGCATATAAATTGAACCACTACGATATATTCCTACTAAATAATACTATTTTTTTATATACAGCGTGTGGCAGAAATAGTGACACTTCATTTAACTCTACAAGATGGAAACGCCAAATGGAATAAATTCATTATTTCGATTTCTGCACATATTTATAGAAAATCCCGAAACACGTCAAATTTTAATTATAAATTGACATTTTTCAACGTCAAAATGAGACCCCTAGCTTCAACACCCCCTTCGAAGGATAGTCACAACCCCAAATTTTTTTAAATCGGAAGTATAGGCTTGTGATATATCGTTTGAAAGGTCTCTTCATTCTCTATCCAAAAATGTTATTTTTTTCCAACTTATTTCAAAAATTTACATAAAAAAATTAAATCTTATTTCTTGTTCTAGCTTTAATAAAAAGACTTGTTTGTTTAAAAGGCCTTATTGGGCAAATTGGGCAAATTGGGTTGTAACTATAACTGCGCGAGAGTACTTGTCAGTGTTTGAATTTTTGTTAATTTTTGTTATTTTTTTGCAATTTATGTTTGAATTTCTTTAATTGCAATTAAGCAAAATGGTTAGATTAATAGAAATGCATAAAATAACAGTTCTGGTGAGAAGATTAATATTTTTTTACATTGTGGACAATTACATATTGAATATACATATTATATCGAATTTAGACTATCGGATGATTTTATTTTTTATGATAATTTGTAAAATTAACAAAAGAATAACATATTTGAATAGATAATGAAGATACCCTTTTAAACAATATATCACAAGCCTACATTTTCCATTTAAAAAATAGTGGTAAATAAAATGTAACTGTCATTCGAAGGGGGTTGAAGATATGACTCAAATTTTCACGTTGAAGAATGTTAAATTATAATTAAAATCTGACGTGTTTCGGAATTTTCCATAAATATGTATGTTCAGTAACCTAATAATAAATGTATGCCATTTGGCGTTTCCACCCTGTATAGAATTTCCTGAGGCGAAAATAAGATAATAAGATACGCTACTACATTAAGAGATTGACATTATCTAGCTACTGAGTTGAGCTATATTTTCTGATGGCCTGCAGGGTTTCTGTGATATTTGCAATTATGTCAAAATAGTTTCGATATGCCCGACTCTCCCCTATCTGTTTGATTGAAGACGCTGATATTTGGCGAAAAAAGGAGAAACGTTGCGATTAAATAGGGATGGGGGGGTATTAAACGGGAATTACGATTGTACTTCCTAAATCAATCGATCTTGATACACCGGGATAAACGGACCCCATAAATCACAAATAGAGCACGTGAAATTTTGCTGAGGAGATCCAGTTAGAGGAGAATGTAATCGCGCGAAAATTCCATCGAACCATAAATTTGATCCGAAATTAGTCGGCGGCCGATACCGGATTGATTAAAATAATTAGCCGAAATTGGATTATTTTAATTCGATATGATGTTTGTGGATATAAATTGTTTTTCCTGTAAAATTCGTTAATATAACCATTCCATTTGAAATTTTAGTGGTTTCTACAGCACAAATTTAGGATGAATTTAGGATGAAAAAATCTTCCAAAACTTGCAAAAAAAATGACTAGGACCGTATTTAACAAAATTAAGCTGTGGATGGTTCTGAAAAAAGAAACCTCTTGAAAAAATGATTTGTAACTACATTTGCACCTAAAAGATACAAAAGCAATACAAAAGAGCTCTCACTTTTTCTTTATACCCACAAAAATAAAGGATAAAACTCGATTTGAATTACTTACCTTTAAATTACTTACCTTCAGAAACAAATTTTTGAGCAATTTTTAGCAGGATAAAAAAAGTTTAACATGCGCAATCACCCTGTACAAAAAAACAATCTAAAACAGCCTGGCAACATTCTGAAAACTACCTAATATTCGAAGCCATCGACATTGTTCCACAATCTGCTTTCCGTTCAATTCCATCCAGTGTTTGTTTATATTAACTGAAGCGCTTCGACAAACATACATACATACTACGTCTGGCGAGTAAAAAAAAAGGAAATAGACTTTCTCTTCGCTCTACTTGCTCGAGTATCCAGTTTGTGCCTTAAAAGAGAACGTGTCTTGTTTATTTTCTGTGAAGTTTCCTATCCTATACATGTTTGCTTCAAGTTAGTGTTTTTGGCGATTTCTGGCATTCGTTCTGCTAACGTTCGTTTGAAAAAAAAACATCCGCTTTCTATAAATTATTAATAAAATTTCAGTTGAATTTCTTAATTAACTAAAAAAATTCTAAAACTCTATACAGGATATTGAGTGCCAATACTTCAGGATTTGAATAATTGGATGATTTTAAGAAGAAAAGTTTATTAATATTTGTCCTAAACCTCTTAGTTTTCGAGCTACAGGTATTACAATTTTAGAAAAAAAAAACTTTTCTCATTACTCCATCGTATATAATTTTCTTATTTGTGCAGATATTTTTTTTAAATTTTTACCAGTGACGTCCGTCGGGGTTTGAACTAAATATTTTTCTAAAAACCAAAATTATTTTTAATATCTTCATTTATTTTGGAGCAAATTCGATCCGAAGACTTACTTTCGTACGATGCACCATTTTCGCGTAAAAAAAAATAAAAACCAAAACAATTTTTCCCAAGTTCATTTTGAGACTGCTTTTGATATTTTGTTGAAATTTGGTAGGCGCCCGCCATGCATGGAAACACTTTTTTTTGTGGACAAAAATGAATTTTCTACTATTACTAGTGACGTCCTCGTCCGAAATTTCATAAAAATATCTGGTAATAAGAAAATTATGATAGAAAAGTTATTTTTTTCTAAAACCTTAACACCCAGTAGCTCGAAAACTAAGAAGTTTAAGACATACATTGATATAAACTTTTCTTCTTGAAATCATCCAAATATTCACATCCTGAAGTATCGGTACTCAATTAATTAACACCCTGTAAAGTTTAACATTCTTCCAACATTAAAATTTTCCCCATCTAACCATTTTATTGTAACACCTTATCCTGTTAATAATATTGCAGGACACAGTGTAGAGCTGCACATTCGAAATTTCGAAATTTCATACTGTCGTCATATGTTCATATTATCCATTCTTTCGGTCCATTTCAATGGAAAGTAATGAGCAATTAGAGAAATTTCCGTTGCCTTTTCAGATCCGTACGTAAAAGTGTGGCTCCAATTCGGCGATAAGCGCATAGAGAAACGAAAAACGGCGATATTCAAATGTACTTTGAATCCCGTTTTCAACGATACGTTCTCTTTCAACGTGCCGTGGGAGAAAATCCGAGAATGTTCGCTGGACGTGATGGTAATGGATTTCGATAACATTGGAAGAAACGAGCTTATAGGAAGGATTTTATTAGCCGGTACGATTGTCTACGTGTTTTCGTAATTATTGATTACTTATACGAGTAATTTTTGGTTTTTTTTTGTCAGGTAAAAATGGTTCTGGAGCATCAGAGACGAAGCACTGGCAAGACATGATCACCAAGCCCAGGCAGACCATAGTACAATGGCATAGACTTAAACCAGAATAAGAAAATTATATACTATAGATTTACGAATATTGAACTTTCGAAAGCACCCCTATCATCTTTCAAAGTATTTATAATCATACGATATCTACCTTTTAATAAATCTTATTTCTTATAATGTTGGTTCGAATATTTTGAAATGATAAAGATTTCTATTTTAGTAATTTTTACCATCCTTCATTCAAATGTATTCACTTTATGCGTACCTACTATTCGAAAGACGTTTTGAATTTATATTTTCACTCTTGAATTTTTTAATAAACTACTCTTTTAGAAAAAATATATAGGTATGTAGGTACCTATTTATTTATCGTACTTAAAATTCCTCTTAATAATAAGAGATGTTGGCAGAATCTTCAATCATATTTAGAAAATTTTATCAATTGTATGTTTTTTAATTCAGAATCCAGACGTATTAATGTCTCAAATGGTAAATATTATTTTAATGATTTTTTTCTAAAAGAGTAAAAATCTAAATCTCTACTTATTTATAAAAAAAAAACATTTTTTAAACATAAAAATATCGAATATATTCCAAAGTAAAATCCCAATTAAATGTTACTGATATTATCTAATAACCTACAAAAAATTGATAACCCGATAATTACACGAATCTGTGAATTTCAGAAACATAATCATTAAATTATATTCTACAAAATAGATGTCTATAAACTGTTGTAAAAAATGCTTTAAAGTCTATTTTTCTTAATCTTAATTACGATTGTATTAAGTCAAAAATATTCTAATTTTAGTAAAAATTCGAATCAAATGCGCTTAATTGAAATATCATCAAAGGAAAACAAATATGGAAACTAAAATAACGAATTAGTTGAGAATATTTATTTAATAAATGAGAGTATTTTTGAATTGAAAGTATACTTTATTTTTTTATTCTACAAAGGAAACTAATTAAACGTGAGGCTTCTATATCTTTATGTCTTTTACGAGCACAAGTACTTTTTAATCAGACATACATGGTGATCTCTTACATTTTGGCACAATTCGCACCTACATTATTCATTTTAATTCAAACTGTTGAACATCAATTAAATAATAATTTATTCATTTACGAGTATGTAGGATGAATTGTTCATGTTCTTCGTTTTCAACATTGATTTCGAAAGTTGAATAGAACACCGAATGAAAAAAAGAAACATTTTTTTGGAAAAACTGCTAAAGCAACTTAAATGCCAAATTTAATGAATTTGTAAACCTATAAAAGTATTTATTTTGTGTCAAAACGTAAGTATCCACTTTGTATTCAACGATGTCTAAATACCATAAAATATTCAAAAAAAAATGAAAAGAACTGCGAAAAGTCTCTAAAATGAGAAGTATTTTTTGTGATACCTTATAGTAATGTTAAAAATATTGTTATAATAAATGTGAATATTCATATTATATTAAAATAGTTAATATATCGTTTTATCGAAGATTGTTCATTCCACTTCATTTTTTTGGTCAACTCTGATGTACTTAAATGATCAAGAATTGTGTTGTAAACAAAATGACAGTCAACATTTATATTTCAGTATCTAATTAGTGTAATTTTTAGTAAGTTTTAATAAATATTTCGTTGTTTGAATAGTCAGAACAGTACCAAAATGAAAAAATTGTTCGAAGTGGAACGAAGAAAATTCGGTAAGAATAATTTATTATGTAGTTTTTAACTGTCTACAAGTGTAACGAGAACACGCTTTATCTTTGTCTGTATAGAAAATTTAGAGTAAGATTGGAATTTCTCAATAAAAAAAAAGGTTATTACAGTGGGGATCGACGGAAAATGTGATTTTGTGAGTTTTGCAAACGTTTTTTATGTGCTTTTTGTATCATAGCGATAGATTCGATATACTTGTAATTTTCATATCGGTAAACAAATTTTTGCAAAAAATATATGATAATTTGTAAATACAATCGAAGAGATAAATTCTGGAAATTTTACATTTTTCGTGAAAAGACTTAATTTGATTTGATTCATCGAAAAAAATATGAAGCTTATAAGATTCTATTAACCGAAATATGGGTTTAAATAAAAAAAAAACATTTTTTACGAAATTTTAAATTCCACGATTCTTCTATTCGCTTGCATCTACCAAATATACATAATTGTTTACTATTTGGTTAATTACCATTAAACGTAAACGTTAATAATGTTAATATGTGGCCAATTGTGAACTCGATGTTAATTAATTTGTTGTAAAATATTTTAAGTTTTATCAAATTCGATGCGAAAGTTAATCGCATTCGGGAAATTTTAGCTGTAAATGTGCAATGAAATCGGTTCGTTTCGAAACGAGAATTTCCCGAATGTGTGCTAAAATTGTCGCCCGTTTTTCCAGGGCGTCAAGATTAACTGTAGTGCCTGAAAATAAACGTATCGTTTTCGCGAGTACCTACAGATATAATATATTAATATACATATATTTTGGAAAATTAATTTAGAAAATAGCCCTTAATTTTTACGTACAAAACAATGTTGACACAACAGGTGTACTTAAAATAATTTTAGCTAACTAGAATACTGATGGATTACCAATAATCCTTATAATAGCTCGATGTATTTCTGAAGAAAGCTTAGTATTAAATTTTTCGAAATGTATCGCAATATCAAGATTTTATTAAGCGAGTAAGTATTTTATAAAACTTGCTCGGATTATAAAATTATTAGCTAATTGTCATCCAGTAATAATTTCATGTCGTTAAAACACCATAAGTAAGTTAAGGAAAAATAATTTTCTCCAACTCTAATCAAAACAGTGAAATCCTGAGAAAATTGCGAGCGATTTCGAAAAATAAACTCTTGAAACATGTTTGAATTATGTTTTTTTAATGTTGTATCAGCCATTGTTTCTAGTTACTTACGTGTATGTATGGTGTCGAGATACAACAAAAAATTTCAATGTGTGTAAATATATGTTAGTTGACAGCAACCTAATATTGTAGAAGTATTAATTAGTAAAAAATAAACGTATTTAATTTAAATTTGTTTTTGTTTATTTTTTTCCTACGTTTCCTGGTGTTTTATATCCAGATTCTCGCCTAGTTTTCCAATTACAAAAAAGCTGTAGAGAATACTCCCTGATTGGAGATTTGCTGCAATTTACAATTGATTGTTTTTAATGGGCTACACAATCGTTTTTAAATTGAATAGAAAAATCCACATTTAGACTTATGGATATTCTGCTTTTTTCGAATTATTTACCGACTTTTTTTTCTCAAAATCTCGCAAAAGTTTTCTCCAATTTTCCATTTGAAAAATACATCCAAAATTTATATTCTTAAGCACAATAAAAAAATAGATATCCATTAATCCTAAAAAATATCTCTACTAACGCCATCTAACTGTGTATGTGTAAGGAGTTTTTGTCCTTTATCCTTTTGCAGGAATTCTACGTTTCACCCTTGCCCTACAGTGGAAGTATTGATTGCTCTAAATACCCTTAGCTGGCAATGCTGCCACGCTCAAAAAATCGTGCAATTTACTGTAAATAGTTGTAGTTGTAGTAATATTTTCGAAATATGGCCGAAGGAACGTACGAATACGAATGCATGAGAGCCGAGCTGCTGGGATTAGAGCGACCCGATTATGACGAATTCACCAAGAAGCAACTCGAAACAGTGCAGAAGGTGGCAGAGGATGAGGAAGCCGATGTGGAATACATTAAGGTTTGTCCAGAGTACTGATTAAATGCAACTAGAACTTTGTTTTACAGTAACATTTTTAGTAGTTAACTAAATATATTTAATCACTTTTAAATTGGTTAAATTGGTACAGTGGTGTGTTTTAGTAGAAAATTTTGACAAATTTATTGCCCGACTTTAAGGATTTTTAGGATCTCTTCGAGTAGTTATGAATTGTTATATTTGCAGGAAGTTGACGTAGAGAGCGAAGCAATGGGTCGAGTTTCGGGAAAATTCGACGAATTGAACAATATTTTGAAAAAGACGCAGTTCAAAATTAACAGGATAAAGGTAAAACTAAACTAATGCCAGGTATTTACTTAAAAAAATTCGATGTGAAGTGCCTATATTCCCCGGATACCAAAATACTTGAAGACGATTTCGAAAAGTTTTTAAGCTCTTGATTAGAACTCATAGGCTCAATTTGAGCTGCCCCGGTTATTTTGGTTTTGAAATACACGCAATCACATGCATGAGTGGACAGAAATTTAGTTTTATGTTCGACATTTATGAAATAGGTTGCTTTACAAGAACAACTTTGGGAAATATGGGAAACTTACTTCTAAAGTGGTGAGTTTTCTGCTCGCATGGTAAGAAATTTACTAAACGATACTGTTAAATTTTTCTTTTGGGGAACACCTTTTGTGGGGAAGTTTTATGCTAATAATTGATGCCATTAAATTTTGAAAAAATTATTCATTAGTTGATTTTACAGCCGATTCAAATTCCAAAAGTTAGATGACCCACCCAAAATTGGAATAAAACGCAAAATTCCTAAAGTTTTTTATTAACTTTTCTTGATCTCCTTCAAAATAGGCTTCTTTTAAAGCGATATACACAGTCAAACGCCATTCCCAATCATCGAAACATTTTTATAGGCCCTTTTTGGAACGCCTTTTAGCTCTTTCTGCTTTCATTCATGGTATTATTTATGGAGTAAAAATGGGATTCCCGAAGTGGCAATTTGAGTTTGGAAAACAAAAAAAAATGTTACACGGGGCTATTTCAGGTGAGTAAATCGGCTGGTCGATGCTATTTCACACGAACCAGCATCTGCATCGACCAGTTGGCGATATCGCTTTTGAAGGAAACAGCTCTATCGGAACGAGCCAAGACTCAATTCGCAACATGTCTGTTTGCTTGAGCAAAATTAAACGAACGGTTTAACAGGAGATGTTGAGGTCATGTGCTACTTCTCTAATAATAGCATGATGATTTTCGAATTCAATTTCCTTCATTTTCTCACCGTTATCATTAATTTAAGAGATCGAAGAATGTCCAGAACAAAGCAAGTCTCTAGCGATCTGTCGACTGTCTTTAAAAGTTTTGTATCATTCGTAAATATGAGACTTCGAAAATTGAGTCACTTTTAGCATTTGCATCGATTCAGCTCAAGAAATTCCGTGCAAAACCGAAAATATACGATACTAACTCTGTGTTCATAATTTTTGTCTACTCTTTTTGTCTACCACTACTGATTGTGAGATGAACTGATTCAATCAGCTACTGCAACCAAACTGATTGAGAAATCTCTTTAATTTTTTGCATGCTAATTAAGAACAGTATCACCTACATACAGAAACTTGATATAGTTAAAATATTAAGTCGTGCAATACTTAGTCACAGGGTATTGCACTTTAAAAAAATCTCCCAATAAGACAGTTTTAATATCTCGAATTTTATCGCCATTTAAGGCAACCACTCTATAGAAACAAATCTACATAGAGGATCTAGAAAATGTACCGAAAATAAACACTAAACACCTAATTTTAGGCTTCCTGCGGATCAGTAGCGGGCTTATTAAAAAACCGCTTGGGAACGTTCAGTTCGCAATCATCCGTCGACGGGGATCCAGCCGATGTGGAAAAGACGCCGAAAGTGGAGGAAAATACTACAAATGGAGAAGAAAAACCAGTCCCAACTTATAAACAGGAGGTTTCAGAAAACGGCACACCTATCAGGAAAAGTGAATTGGCCAAAGCCTTGGACAAAGATTTGAGCAGCATCGATTCCATGATAGCTAAAGCGGAAAACGCAGAGATTTCCATGGCATATCAAGCGAAAGAAATGAGGAAGTTCATGAAGTAATTTATTAAATCGATGGTTTTAGTTTAGGCGAATTATTTCTCGCAAATTGGTTAAAAACGATTTCGAGAAATTGTATAATCTATACATAAAAAAATGTACTGATCAATGCATATTAGTAAATTAAATTATAAGGTAGATTTGTTTCTAAATAAACGTGCTAATCTACGATTATATTCAATCATTTTGTTCTTTGTGTATGCGAAAAATGGTTAATTTATTAATATGCCTGTTAGCTAATTTGTTACATATTTAAACAATGTTTAAGATAGAAATTTAGACAATATTATTTATAGAATTGAATCGCAAATCGAAGTACCGTTTAGTGGTGTAAAAAATACAAGAATCGGTTGCTTTAATCTGCTATTTAATATTATATTGCTCTATTGTACATACGAAGGAAAATCATTATAAACACACAACCAAATAATACAATGTAGGAATAAGTAGTTGACAAAATTTTAGCGTAATTCGATTTATATAACTAGTAATTTTTCTTGAGAATATTTTAGACTACATCATCAGTAAGAAGAACTTTTCTACTCAGTTTTGTAACTTGCAGTTTTAAAAGATTTTTTTAACTAATCTTCAATAACATCTATGCATAAATAATAAATAGAATCGTATTTTTTAGAATAGGAAAGCTTTTGAATCTATTATCTTAACATCTATATTTTTTTTAATTACATTTTGTCACTTTCGGACTTTCCCTCGTGTATAAATATTTATCAATATAGTAATTGACACGTTATTAAACTTGTAATTTCTTTATAAAAAAGTAATAAAATTTTAAAGCCAATTCCACTTTCTTTCTATATTTGTAATTTTGTATTTTAATAACAAATGTGTATATAGGGAGAGTCAAGAGTACAGTTCGTCATGACTAACCTTGTATAAACGTGAAAATGTTTTCAAACTAAATAAACAATAAATATATTTGGCAACAGCGCTCGTGTATCGCTAGTAAAATGTCAGTCATTTGTCACTATGCATATTTTAATAGGTCGCTACCTTAGATGGTACACAGCCCCATATTTGCCTCGTACTTACCAGGCAGTCAAGCTACCTCGGAATTGTTCGTTAAAATGAAATTTTTATACCCACATCAATATCTGCTTCAAACCTTTTGAATACCTCGAGTGTAAAAGCAAAAATTCCGCAAATTATTACTGTAAATAATTAAAATTTGACATTGACATTTGACATCGAGTATGTCAGTTAGTCTGTCAGTCTCTCCCCTCGCCCTCACCTTTCGATTAGTGTTTGTACGCGTAGAGACTCCATTTTGTTTAACCCGAAGGTAGTTTGTATGTTTTCGTGCATTCAATTCCATTTGATGTATTAAAAAAATGAGTGATTATTCTGCGGTCGCTCCGCCACCACAACAAAATTTCAATCAGTCTTCGGCCTTCGCCGCAGCCCTTCAACGTGCCAAACAGGTATGGTTTTCGGTTTTCGGTATCGAATAAACCGGACTTTTTCCGCCACTTTTTCCTATCGGTGTCGTTTTTGTCGATAACAAAAATCTACCTAGCAGTTACGGTTTAGTTTAATACACGTTTTTTGCTAGATCGCCGCTAAGATTAATCCCGCTTCTACTGGTGAAACGAGACCCAAAAGGTCATTAGAGGATAGTTCAGGTGAGTTTGCATCGTCGGTAGACCATCAACTCGCTAAATGTAATCGTTTAAATTCGCAAAAAAATTAGAACCGGATGCTAAAAAAGGCCCAGGAGCTAATACAAGCCCGGCACATTCAAACTCAGTTGGAAGACCACCCATCCAAAACATGGGACCCCCTGGATTAGGACCCCCTGGAATAGACGACATGAAACCCGACAAAATTGGAGGACTCCGTAAGTATATATAACCTTGAAATGTGCAATTCATTATACACAAACATAATGAATTGTATGTATATTTAATTAGCTAACGGTAACTATTTTATGTTGTTTCAAGGAATGAACAACGTAGGAATGGGCCCTGGCGGTCCGGGCGGCCGCAACTCCATCGAGATCATGATACCCGGCCCGAAGGTGGGCCTGATCATCGGCAAAGGCGGCGAGACCATTAAGCAATTGCAGGAGAAAAGCGGCGCCAAGATGGTGGTGATACAGGAGGGGCCGAACCAGGAGCACGAGAAGCCGCTGGTCATCAGCGGTGATCCCCAAAAGGTGGAGTACGCCAAGCAGTTGGTGTACGATCTGATAGCCGAGAAGGAAATGAAGAATTTCAACAGGGCCGGCGGCCGGGGGCGCAATCAGGGCTCCAACGACGGTTACAGCGACTTCGGCGGTGGCGGCGGAGACCAAATGGAGGCGAGTACTAATTAATATAAAACTTTTATCAGCCTAAATTATCGATCGGCCAGAGAAATGATGTTAATATTTTGATTGATTCTGCAGGTATTAGTGCCGAGACCGGCCGTTGGAGTTGTCATTGGAAAAGGCGGGGATATGATAAAGAAAATACAAGCCGAGACAGGTGCGAAGGTACAATTCCAACAAGCCAGAGACGAAGGCCCCGGAGATAGAAGGTGCTTCTTGTCCGGGAATCCGAAACAAGTAGAAATGGTAAATTTTTCAATCGTAATTGCACATAATTGAATATTAGTAAATTGCTTCTAGCAAATTAGTCATTCATAATGAAATTCTGTTACTTTAAAGATATAATTAAATAAATTTTGGAAATTTTAAGGCACGCCAACGAATAGACGAACTGATAGACAGTGTCTTGCAACGCGACGGCGGCGGCGGCGACAACGGCATGGGCGGTCCCATGGGCGGCATGCGAGGAGGCCGAGGGGGCGGTCGCGGTCGCGGCGGCCACTTTGGCGGTCGCGGTGGCGCCGGCGGCGGCGGTTTCGACAGGGGCGACCGAAACGGCGGCGGTGGCGGCGACTTCGGCGCCAATCAATGGGACGATAGGAGAAGCGGCGGCGCCGGCGGACACCAGGGCGGTCCCGGAGGCTCCGGGGGCGGTCAGGAAGTCGTCAGTTTTACGGTTCCTGCGAATAAATGCGGGGTTATTATTGGTCGCGGTAGGTTTTGAATGCCCTTTTTGTCCGAATATGTTTCATTATACAGGGTGTTAATTAATGTAATGTACTTATTTTAATGGGTAATTCTTGAGTTCATTTTGAGTCGAAAAGTTCATATAAAGATATGTCCTCTGAAGCTCGGTTATTCGATATACCTACAGGGTTGTATTTTTATTTTGAAAACCGTTTTTTTTCATTGTTGAATTGTAGGTAAACATATTATATAAATATGCATGTAGATTATCTGTTTATATAAAATGTCTTCTTCTTATTATTAATTTAGATAAGTAGATTTTTGGTGTGATGTTTTAGATGTAACAACTACAGTTTTTAATTATTTTCTTTAAAATGATAAGTTCTACGGTAAAAACGCAAAACAAAATATTTAAAATGAAATGGTTATCAATAATTTTTAAAAAACGTTTCTAAAAACCAGTGGCGTACTATTTTTTTTTTTTTTTTAGATAAAATTGCGCCAAGACTTACCCATATCTACGCCACTGGTTAAAATAAATATTTTATATTTAAAAAATGCGTATTTATACCATAATATGTTATTCTAAAATTCAATGTAATATCGCAAACGGTTTTTCAAATTTATGAAAAAAGCCTAAATAAAAATAAAACTTTACAAGCCCTGTACCGAGCTTCGGAGGACATACCTTTATATGAACTTTTCGGCTCAAAATTAGCCCAAGAATCACCCGTTAAAATAAGTACATTGCATTAATTAACACCCTGTATAGATGGTAGAGTACTAATGTGAATTTTGTTTTATTTAGGCGGCGAAACAATTAAACAAATTAATCAGCAATCGGGAGCTTACTGCGAATTGGACAGGAGATCGCAGAATTCGAATGCGAACGAAAAGATATTTTTGATTAAAGGAGATCCCGAGTCTATAGAAACGGCCAAAAGGATCATTCAGGATAAGGTTCAAATGCCATTGAATTTTGTCTCGCAAAACGGACCAGCGGCTATGAGTACGAATATGCCTACGGTAAGATTGTTCAATATCATTCAGAATTAAAAAATCAATTCGTTTGATTGGATTACTTGTTTTTTTAACTGAATATCCCTTGGTTTCAGGCTTATCCGGGCATGGCACCTCAAGGATACAATCCACAAAATAACTGGGGCATGCAGGCCGGTAATTACCAGCAACAACAACAATGGGGCGGGCAGCCACAGGGCGCAGAATCACAGCAGGCCCCTCCGAACTCAGTACAAATGAACCCGTCAACCGGCCAGCCGGATTATTCCATGCAATGGGCGGAGTATTATAGATCTTTAGGTAACATCGAATACTAAATTCTTAATCTGTTAATTAAGCTAAGGATATCTGTGTATTGTTGCCGATTGTCTCTTCATTGGCATGTTCAATAAACAAAAAACGAATTGCAGTTAGGTATTTTCTTTAACATAGACACGATTTCGTTGATAGGCATGCATCGGGAAGCGGAAATAATCGAGCAGCAGGCGAAAGCCAAGGTGGCGAGCGGCGCAGCTGCGCCAGGAATGCCCCAATCGGCCCCTGTGGCAGGCGCGGCATCGGCAGCCGTGGCTTCGGCCGCCGGACAAGGCCAGGCCGATTACAGCGCTCAATGGGCCGAGTATTACAGGAGTATCGGTAAAGTTAAAGAAGCGGAAGTGATCGAAGCTCAGATGAAGAACAAGGTTTTTATTTTGACGCATTTTACTATACCGCTTGATGATCATTTTATAACGTGCAATGTGTTGTAACTAAAGTTTTCGTTGTGTTTTAGGGTAGCACATCGGCGCCACCGGGCGCGACGACGGCGCCTGGCGCTCAGTCGGGGGCTTATCAGACGCCGCAAGGACAAGCGTACGCCGGATATCAACCGCAAGCGGCTGCAGCTGGTTAGTTTTAAACATAATTTTTAACAATTTGTATAAAATGTACTCGAAAAAGCTCAATAATGGTGCATTTTAAGCCGGCAAAAGTCTCGCTGGCTGTGTGAGCTCGAATTTGAATGATCCCTTAGAATCGATATATAATTATTTAAATATGTCATTGCAACTTTTCACTCTGACAATTGTTATTTTAATAATATTTCTTTGTTCAACTCAGAAATGACCATAATGCAAACTGAAATGTATTAAGTTGTATACTAGTTGTGTCCATAAAGTAAGTTCCGTTTGGAATTTTTTAAAAATCATGTGCATGTATAGGAATAATATTTATTGCATAAAAATCGACGACCTGGACGTTGTCACACGGTGCAATATTGCATTCCAGTTCTTATACAAGCGTTAATAAAAATTATTTTGTATTTGAACGTTTGTATTTTAAGTGCAATACAATATTGCAGCGAATTAAGAGCGTTTTTTAATAACGTGCTAATACTGAGGGGGTGTTTCTTTGACCCATTTTAAGGAAACAACCTCATATGAACATGTCTTAAACCTAAAATTTATTATAAGTTTATAGTATTTATTTTTTTTATGCGGAACGGTAAATCGTACGAAAAAACTTTTCACACGGTGCAATATTGCATTGAACTTTTATACAAGCGTTAATAAAAATTATAGAACTCTAGTATTTTAACTGCAATGCTATATTGCAACAATAAATTGCTGCAATATATCGCACCGTGTGAAAACGTTCTAAGAGTCATAGTTTTTGCGCAATAAATATGTTTCCTATATCTTGTTCATGCTCTTTTAAACTACCAAACAGAATTCACTGTTTGAGCATACCTACTACATCACTTTTCCCCACCGAAAACGATGAAGTGTAGGTTTAAAAAATTGTTTATAATGATTGTAATTTGTTTTATTAGGTTATTACGGTGGTCAACCACAAGCCACGGCGGTTCCGGGCGGTGTGCCGCAGGGAAATTACGGTTTTCCGTCGTACAATTACGGAAATCAACCGGGCAGCGCTCCGACACCTCAGGATAATTGATGCTAAAAGTAAGTGTAAATTTTCGGGATCGTTATTTCAACATTACCTACTTCGGAAAACAATGATTTATCGTGCATATACTATTGGTTAAAAATTTCGATTTTGTTCGTATGGCATTTTTTATTTGTGCATTTCAGGAGAATTTGCCAGTTTGCGATAGGCATATTGGTCGAACTACATTTAAGATTGTTTTCTATGTAGCGTTCAATTTCCGTTTATTTATATTATTTTTTTGTTTTCGTTATTTTTCTTATGGTATGCTGCCCACATTTCGCGTACACGATGGATTTTTATGCTACACCTGTTCAAATCAACACATCGATCAGATAGATCATTTTTCTACAATGTTATTGTAACGCTGTAATACAATATACGCATTTTGATTTGTCATTGGTAACAAAATTAATACAACGAAGATTGTCGTTTCACATAAAAAAGTTGAACATAAATGCATAAAAATCTTTGTATTTACAATTAATTTAAAAACAGACGATGAAATGCATTTTAATTGCATTTACATAACTAGCTTTTATACGTGGGCAGGATGCGAATTTGTTTCAGGAGGTGATTGAAGCAGCGAGATATCAGATTTATATATTTACAGATTTTAGAAAGCGGCACCAATTGACTGCTAAGACCTTCCAGAGAAATCAATTTCTTAGACCTTAAGAAAGTATTTTAAACGAACCGGTAATAACAATACCAGGTATAATTTTTGGTTTCGCCCAACTTAGAGAAGTCGCATTATGCAGTATCGATTTTTTTTAGATATTTGTAGATATAAGGTATTTTTTTTCTGTTTTTCCTATAAGTTGATCACCTCGATTTGGAACGTTAAATTCCATTGAATACATTTGCTTTTTTACGGCCCCTTTTTGTATTTATATAGGTATAATAGTATGGCTAATATAAATGTTTTTTTTATGTTGATCTTAAGAGTTTCGTTTTCATTTTGATACATGTTAAGAATTGTAGGAGTGTTTTTTTTGTCAAATTATTCATAGGCTCTTCGGACAAGGGAGATTGGATCTGCGTATTCCAGGGGTCCCGGCCGTTGATCTAAAAGTAACACTGATGGTAAATTCAGTAAAACAATTCAATATATACATATTTTTTTTTACTTCTCTTTAGCGAATTCAGTGTTGCTTTTCGAATTCCCCACCGAATTTGTTATAATGTTTTAAGCTATTAGATTTTTTATGTGGTATGAAAAAAAAATGCTTCAAACTGTATAAAACATTAAACATGACTTACAACGTGAATTTTGGTGTCTCTTCTTTTTTATTATAGTTTTTTTTACAGATCAACCTCAACTTTGGCGATGACCTTGTTTTTAAACGACTTGTTTTATTAATATTTTTACGCATTTTTCATTATTATTATATAATATTTATATATTTTTACCATTTATGCATAATTCAGTTCTATTTACCTTTTTTAGTATTAGGTAGGTAGGTATTTTGGTGGTACAATGACTTATGCATTTTACTATTATATTTCATTCATAATTGGTATACATATTTATTTTTATGCGATATTATTTTACATATAAAACAAGGTAACTTGCCGTACCCCATCCTCGTTTTGATCCCTATTTATCCATACATTTTTTTGGTAATTGAATATAAACGATTTTTCAGGATATGCTTACAAGGTTATTAAAATTTAATTAACACTTGACTGATGTTATTTTTATGATAGGTGATGGTTGAAGTTATTTTAACGGTGCTCTATCGAATTTTTTCCTGCATTATCTATGAAAATGTATTATTTTTCCAGGAAATCGACCGAATTTTCTCACGTATTTAATGCTTATTGCATTTGTATTGTTTATCAATATGTTGTGTACCGACTGAAAGTTTATTATTTAATTTATTTTTTAAATTTTACGCAAGGTTTTGATTAATTATCCTGATGGCAGAGATTTTTCAGGATCTTAGGCTAACGATGATATTTATTTTAACATAAGACATATTTACGGTTTTTGATTCAATATACAATTGATATTTGTTCCTGTGATAGGTTAAGGTTGAAGGTTTTTTCACGATTTTTATCCAACATTATACATGAAAATTTTATTATAAGAACGTATAATATTTTTCTAGGATATTGACCATTTTTTCTCTCATATGAATGATTTATTTTAATCCTTATTCTCTTAATTTGCCTGTATATTGTCTATATTAATTGAACGTTCATTATTTCACATATTCGATGCAAATATTTAATTAAGTATCGTGATATAAGATTTTTCAGGATTTAAGGCGAACGATGATTTGCGGTTTTTTTATTAATTAACATACACTTGATAATATTTCTATGATAGGTGAAGTCTGAAGATTTTTCACGATTTTTATCCTGCATTTACCATGAAAATGTAGCAGTATTATATTTCCATGAAATTAACCGTATTTTCTCGCATTTCAAACGCTTTGTTTTAACACGTTATCCCCACAAATTTACTATAACATTGCCGATGATATTGTTGTAAAAGTTTACGGTTCTTATCCTAAGATATTGACAAGTTTTTTCTACAAATATATTCTATCTGATTTCATGTCAGAAAGGTGGGAACCTGGTAAACAATTTCGGGATTGAGAAGGCTGCACGACAGTCGAGATAACCGCACATAAATATTACTCGAGGGATTCTCTCCTTCCCTTCCTCCCCAGTTTCAGTGGCGCAAATGCGACGATAAAGAAGCATCGGGTAAGTGCATTTAGGTTATAGCCAAGTTGAACGAATTTTTTCCACATGAAAGTTCCAGCTAATATCACATTTCAATGTTCCGACGACGGTAAATGGCGCTTGCTTTTGAAAATTAATAAATATCGATCTTTTGCCGGTTTTTTCTGTCTTGCGTAACAGGGAATGAGGAAGAAGAGGAGAGACTGCTGATTGATACAACAGCAAAGCCTCTGCAGAAAGATAGAGCCGTTATCAGTAATAATTGAAGGAAAATAGCCGGGTTTTAACGAGGAATATTGCTTATGTATTTGCTTATGTATTTACAATACATATCTATGGATTTGATGTCTTTAACTTAACCATGGTTTACTTGACAATATATTATTAAAACTGCTGGTTTAGTGATGTAATCCTGGTAGTAAACAGTACAGTATTTTTGTACTTTGTAACTCTTTTTTCTTGGACCCCATTTATGTGTTCTAAGTTATATTTTTAGGTATATTTAAAACTTTTACAATAATTAATATTCAAAAGCAAGTCGTTCATTTGAATTTTAATCTCAACGTCCCATTAGTTGGTTTTTTATTAGGTACATAGTTCCTGTAATAAATTTTACATAATATATTATTTGGGTAATTACCTACCGTTCTGATTATTATTTATTAGTTACGGCTAAAGTAATGAGGTTATTATTAACTTTATTATTAATATCTTCGTCTTTTAGTGCATTTAATTCAATTTTATTAATTTCTAAGGAGTACTTATTGACAAAATAATGAAATTTTAAGTAAATTTATATTGAGAAACTATATTTACTAAAGATGATAGGGAAGAAACTGGTGAAGTAATTTTATTAAATTCCAGGCTGTTTCAAATTTTAATTCATTGCTACTTTTTTAAGCTATCATTTTTTTGGGAGCTTTTTTTTCCTAGGTCATAAAATTGCGGAGGTTTCACCTTATTCTGCGTATTTTTTCGGAATATCCTGTACATATCTCGCTTATTTTTAATTCATCAGTGTTGTAATTTTTTTCAGCGTTCTTAATAAACTTTTTAACATATCAACTGTGTGTTTTTTTCAATAAATTTATTCACCTACAATTAAATAATGAATATTGAAAGATCGGAATTACGAGGGCGAATCAAATATGAACCGGACTTTGCATTAAAATTTTATTAGTAATTTAAATAAAATGTTGAATAGGTAGATCTTATTTTTTATGTAATCTCTATTACTAACACATTTCCCACCGAATAGAAAGTTTTTTAATCACTTTATCAAAGATTGAATATTGGCACGTCTGTAATCAATTGCGCACAAACGTTTCCATACCTTCATAGTCGTTGAAGTGATGACTTCTCAGTTCTTTGAATAGTCTAAACATGTGATAGTCACATGTCGATAAATCGGAAGTGTACGTGGTTGTTCTAGTGTATTTTCCAATGCATTTTTGTCCAAGGTTATTTCTTGAATTAATGAAGCTGTGCGTGGCGAAACGTCAGGAAGCAAAATCGCACTTCGAATGTGCTTGACCTGCTTTTGTCCATTAACAGCACGTCGTTCATGAGGAAAATATCAGCAATATGGCCCATGCAATTCCAAAAAATCGTTGCCAGAACTTTCCCATCTAGTCCCTTCCGAACTGTGCAGTTAGTCAACGCAAAATTTTTACAGGTTTTATGATCCCCCGTGACAAAAAAATGAAATATATTCCGGTTAATATTTGATTCACCCTTGTATTAGTTTATGTGTTTCCTTTTCATCCCTGGATGATTAAACGCATAGCAAGAGGCCACGTTTTTGACAAGGAATTTGTGTCGTCTTATGCAAGGAAAAATATTCTTGTAAATCGATAAATGCTTTAAATAGATATTTTCCACATAAAAACGAAGAATTTATTCGTAAAAAATAAAAACCTATCAATGAATCATTCAAACAATTTCAATTGCGACTTTGTAAGAGCGTTTTCACACGGTGCGATATATTGCTGCTATCCAGCGCTTTTCAAGGAAACCGTCCTTTAGAAGTTATAGGAGATCCTGAAGAGTTATAAAATAGACATCTGAAAATTTAGCAGTAAAGGATAATCGGGTCGATTCTGTTCGGATCTTGTTATGAATATTGCTATGATAACCATGTTGTTATATGTTTAAGTTATAACAATATTGCCAAAAATTTTCGTATTCTGTTTCGATTAGTTTAGCAATGTTGGTATATTTTTAACGCTTAAACATATTGCTAAAAATATGCCGTCATTACTGAAAAATAGACCTGACAACACTGTAATTTTTTGAATATAACCGAAAAAAGAAGAATCCTCCCTAAAATTTATTATTTTACGATTACAATTGACGCCATTAAAGGCAGCTTTTCATATATTACTGCGGTGGAAGCAGAGGCGATTTTTATAAAATGATGAAAGGATGAAAAAAAACAAGCAAAGAACAACTGGAAGTAATAGTAATAATTTAAAAAAATTTAAAAAACCTAAAAAAATATGAGTAATTATTTTTATCATACATTTCTGAACTAGCGCAACTTGTAGATGAAAAGGTGTTATATCTCTTGGAAATGGTTCTTCTAGAACTTCTAACAACTGTTGAATTAAATTTAAAGCTGTAGCCTTATTTAAGTTTTATAAATTTTGCATTTAGCAAATCAAAGGGGTTACTTGAATCTCGTATTTACAAAAAATGTAAACTCTTAGCTCATACAGTAATAAAAAAAGATCGGATTAGCCATATTGCTATCAAATAGCAAGTACAAAAATGACATTGTTCAAATAGCAAGGTTTATAACAAGATATCTTTACTAATCTTTACGAAAGCTAGTGTCGGGTAGGGTTCTCAATACACTTCGGTACATATGTACGTTAAACGAATATTGAATTATCGTCAAATTTACATCATCCGCAACACTTTTTCAATAGTAGTTGCCTGAAATATTCTTATTATACGACCGTGGTCCATGTTTCAAATTGAATGTACCATTTTTGACTTCATTTTTGGATTCTGTGGTTCTTTTTAACTAGGTTTTAACACATATGGTTAAAAATATTTTAGAAAAAAACTACTAAATTTTCAGATTTTTAACTATTCGGGAACTCCTACAAGTTCTAATGGAGGGTTTCCTTGAAAAGCACTGTATTGCTTTGCACTTTTTATACAATCGTTAATAAAAATTATCGTATCGCAAACGTGTGAAAACAACGCATTTAAACGCTTGTACATGTAACTGCAATGCAATATTGCAAGAATAAATTACTTCAATATATCGCACCGTGTGAAAACGCTGTACAGGTTGGAAAGATATTTTTGCTATCTTTATCTACAAGTATTTAAATAAATAAGTCATAATTCGTTTGTACTCTATATCACATCTAATTACAATTTATAATTTAAATCAGTAATTGTAAACAGTATTATTTGAAACTGGTGTGTGCATGCATTATTGAAGTTTCATTACTGTTACTGATTTGTTCGAGTGAATTGTTTTTTATTAGGTATATTATAATTAGTTTGAAACTAAGTATGTAAGTACAAGTATTTTTAAACGAACTTTTATTATTACTAATGGTTTATACAGGAAGTCCTGCAATGGACGGGGCTCAACTGGGTAAAAATTTTATTGGCTGATAAAAATTATCGAGATCGTCCTGTCTCATGATAGGTCAACTGGGCAATTTCCAATATTTTTACCTGTCCCTTAATCGCTTTCCTCGTTTGAACAATTCGATAATCTCTTTCATGTAGGTACACCCACTTTTTGCATACCTACCCCTAGTAGAGCGTAGGTACTTCCCAATTATAATTGCGTTTTAATATAAAATTAGGAGGGGTTCTTTTACTATGCTGTCTCTGTAGATCAATTTTGTTTTGAGTTTCTTCCTGAATTATATGTTTGAAAATGTATACATCTAACTGTACCTAAGTACCTGTATGTAGGTACGTAATTTTTCAACTGCAATTCAAATTTGAGCACAGGTAAAGTAAATATTTAAAATGATTCTGATTATTTAATCTATATAAGTATTCTTAGGAAGGTAGGTAATCCCTTTGCCCAGTTGACCCTACCCAAAAAGGGGACAGGAAAGAGTATTTGCAAAACTGATTTTATTTATTTATTAGAATATAATCTGGCCCCATAATTATCTACTAAGCCATATCCACTATTTACGCGACACCCTGTATATTTCCCACCCGCACCGAGATCAGAGAATAGCGAACACAATCATCAAGTTACCTTTAATTGAAATTTTGTAAATTTGCTTATCGATATCTAAGAACACAAACAGTATTCAATTCTGAATCCATGTCACACAGTAGTACATTTCATGTTTACTAATAACCCAGAGTCACGACCTTCTAAGTTTTACAAAAGCGGCAATATTAATTTTTTTTCAAACCTCTACTTTTTTCGAAAATGTCGAATTACCACTAAACGATTGGTTTTAGGTACAATGTATGGTACATAAAGTCACACTAAAATTCACTAAAGAATTCAAAAATGTTATAATATACAGGGGGTTCCATTAAAAAAAAGGTAACTTTAGTGAATTTCTTATATTGAGCCACCCTGTATATAGACGAAACTATTTTAATAATATGCAGTATTTGAAAAAAAATCAAGTCGATATCTCAATTAGGTAAAAAGTTATGGGACTTTAACGCGACCCTTGGTCACCCTGTATGTATGTATTTTTAATTTTAGTCACCGTGAAGATCCCCGTGAAGGTCACAACCAGTATCGGTTCCTTTTAATAAATTTTGTTAATGGAGTTCGTATAACACACGTGAGTAAATTTTTTTCTTATCGTATTTGCTTTGATTTTTCGCTAAAAAACATTATCGATCAAATCGATTTGATACAATGTTGGTACTGTTTAATAATAAAATATTAAATATCTTCGTTTCCAAAAAAATAACGTACCGACTTGTTTATAAGTGTGCACTTAAGTAGGTAATTATAACATTTTTATCTATTCATAAATCCACTTCTATTACAAGTAGATAATTTTAAATTATTTTTATCCCGTCTCGATAAAGTTTATAAAAGATAACCATTGTGCTTTTTGTACCCAGTACAAATTCTGCTCTGAAAGAAGATGAGTACCAATTTTATATTCCTGCTCCTGCTGAATGCCGTAGGCTTGATAAGCCCGGCCAAAATCTTGATGGTTTTTCCGACGCCTGCACCCAGCCATTACTTCCTGGGAAAATCCCTAGCCAAGGGCCTAGTCAATGCGGGACATCAAGTTACCATGGTAAATGCCATCGAAGAAAAAAACGAAAGTTACCAAACTATTCGTCTGAACGGAATAGAATTAGCTTTAATGAGTAAGTGACTTAATTAATACGAGTAGATACTAGTTTCTAGTAAGTTCTAATAGTAGACTCTATTAGAAGATTCAATTAGTTGTTTCCCTAAAAAGTCCAGTCCAAGTGATCATTATTACTTTCCAGTGAACCTTATTGTTAGTAGTAATAAGTAGAAGCCTTATTAGTACGAGGTCCCATTCAAGTAAAATTCGTTATTTATAATTCCAGAGGCGAATTTATCAACTTGGCAGGAATTGGGGGAACAAGGATTCCTTTCAGTTGAACTCGAATTGAACACCATCGGACGCATACTGGTCGATTACACAGTCACCCATCCGAATTTCCAGAAATTGCTGCGCTCCAACGAGAAGTTCGACGTGGTAATATTGGAGCAATTCCTAAACGAGGGTTTAGTGGTTCTGGGCCGCCATTTTGGGGCTCCGGTGATCTCCTTTTCCACGTTGGGAGCTACAATTTGGACCAACGATCTTGTGGGAAATCCTTGTCCATTTTCTTACGTGCCAGAGTCGTTGAGTGGTTATACAGATCGCATGAATTTATGGGAAAGAACCGGGAACACCATAGTGTCTTTAATCAGGCTTCTCGTTAGGCATATTAAAGTTATCCCGACGCAAAAGGAGCTGGTTAAAGAGCATTTTCCCCAATACTATTCGCAGTACGAGGAAAGCTTGTACAACGTGTCTTTGGTGCTGGTGAATTCCCACGAAAGCGTCAATTATCCGATGCCCATGGTGCCCAATATGGTGCAAATAGGGGGGTTCCATGTCAAGCCTGCGCAGAAGCTGCCCGGCGATCTGCAAAAGTTTATGGATGAGGCCAAAGAGGGTGTTGTGTACTTCAGTTTGGGCACGAACATGGCGCCTTCGGCCATCAGCCCGGAGATCAAGGGGGCTATTATGGGGGCCCTCGGGAGATTGAAGCAGAAGGTGATGATGAAATGGGACGAGGATTCCGTTAAAGGGAAGCCAGATAACGTGATGATAAGGAAGTTCTTTCCGCAGCAGGATGTTTTAGGTGAGAATGTCGTGAAATTTTCGGAAATGTTGAGCAATTGGAAAATGGTTTTTCCTTTTCCATAAAATACAAAATAAACGAGTTTCCATTGAAATTAGTTATCGAAATACCTAATATTTTAGTTGAGAATGTGACACAATGATGTTTATTGTGCATACCTTTATAAAATAATTTCGGATATTTTTATGTTTTCTATTTACCAACGCAAATGAGCAACGCATATTTAAAACCTTTGCATAGATATAAGCTCGCTTTAGCGTGAATTTATACCAATGAAATTTATACAATCGTAAGCAACACCTTGAATTTCGTTCGTCGCGATAACTATTTCATTTTCTGAATACCAAAATTATCGAAATTATAATTATTTACAAAACCACAAAAATAAGCACAATTGTGTTGTTATTTTAACGAGATATAATACCATCTTTAATAATAACCATTTAAAAATAAGAATGACTAAGTTGCTTTTATTGCTTTTCAATATCTATCTGTATAAGAAGGTGGTTCAGATTTTCTACTAATATACAGGATGTTCCATAATGATGCTAATATTTAAGGGGGTGATTCTTGGTCCCATTTTAAGGAAAAAACTTCATAATATGAACCTATGTCCTAAGTTTTGAGATACAGGGTGGTTACATTTTCAATAAAAATATCTTTTTTATAATAATTATACTATTGTAAATATCTTAATGAAATTTGGCACACGTCCTTTACGAATCAAGATGCTTTTATACTATATGTCATAAACCTCTTTGTTTTCGAGCTACAGGGTGTTACAATTTTAGAATAAAAATAACTTTTCTATCAAAATTTTCTTATTACTCCATATATTAAATGAAATTTTGTACACACTTTTAAATTAGGTATATATCATTTTTTGAGGCTAAAGATTTTTTAAAATTTTTACCAGTGGCATCCGTACGGGGTTTGAACTGAATATTTTTCTAAAAACCAAAATTAGGTATTTTTAAAATCCTCATTTATTTTGGAGCAAATTCGATCCAAGACTTACTTTCGTACGACGCACCATTTTCGCGTAAAAAAAATAAAAATCAAAAGAATTTTTCCCAAGTTTATTTTGAGACTGCTTTTGATATTCTATTGAAATTTGGTAGGCGCCCACCATGCATGGAAACACTTTTTTTTTCGTGGACAAAAATTAATTTTCTATTACTAGTGACGTCCTCGTCCGAAATTTCATAAAAATATATGGTAATAAGAAAATTATGATAGAAAAAATATTTTTTGTCTAAAACTGAAACACCCTGTAGCTCGAAAACTAAGAGGTATGAGACATACATTGATATAAACTTTTCCTCTTAAAATCATCCAAATATGCACATCCTGAGGTATCGGCACTCAATTAATTAACACCCTGTATGTATAATAAGTTATTTCGCATAAGAACCTAACAGACACATAATAAAATTATGTAGGAAAGCATAAAATTTTGTGATTTAGGTCAAGTTTATTACTAACAACCAACAAATTCATAATTCAATTATTTTGATTTCAGCTCATCCTAACATAAAATTATTCGTCACTCACGGGGGTTTACTGAGCGCCTTCGAAACCGTTTACAACAGTGTTCCAGTTTTGGCTTTGCCCATTTTCGCAGATCAACGATTAAATGCAGCCAAAATTCAAAACGACGGTTACGGGTTGTTCATATCCTTCACGGATATCACCGAGCAAAACTTCTACGAAGCTATGAGAAAGCTGCTCGACGATAGAAAGTAAGTTTTAATAAGGATTTGGTAGTTTGAAATTTGAAATCCGGGACACCCTGTATGATTTTTTGTCACCAATGATGCCACGTTTTTTTTTCGTTTTCAGATACAGAGATAACGTGAACATAAGGTCTACTTTAATGCGTGATGTGCCAATTAAACCCCTGGATTTGGCCGTTTATTGGGTGGAATATGTTATAAAACACAAAGGGGCGCCCCATTTGCGAATCGCCGGGCTAGATTTGGCTTGGTATCAGTATTATTTACTCGATGTAATATTTCTTATTACGTTCGTCTTCTCCCTTGTATTATTATTTATTTACTACGCACTGAAATTTCTGTTGAAATTTTTTGTTAAAAATAATAAACACAAAACCGCCTAATCTACTGAATTTTACGACAAATTTCATATTTCATCAAATATCGAATGTAAATGTAAAAATTACTTGATATTTTTTATTCAAATATACATTTTTTCTTACATTCTCTTTTCTTAAGTTTCCGTTTTTATGAATAAACCATAGATGACGAAAGATTTATATTTTGTCTATAGAATAAACTCGCTCGTCTCTGGGACCCTTTAGACACATAACTGAATAGCAACAGGCCACATTTTTGCCATTCTCTTACCTAGTCGAGAAAAGAAAGGAAATATCCTTATAATTCGTTAATTAAGCTCAATATTGGTTCCATGTGGTTTACTTTATCGGTTTTCTTTCTCCGCATCTTTTTCGGTCAATAGCATACAAAAAATTAGAGAGACTTCTCAATCAGTTTCTCAGTCATCTCAGAACAAAGAGTTTGTCTCATATTTCAGGTTTTGAACGGAATTTCTTGGGCCAAATAGATGCAAATGCTTAAGGTGACTCTGTTTTTATCGAAAACTCATATTTATGAATGGTACAAAACTTTCAAAGACCGTCGGGAGATCGCTAAAAACTTGCCCTTATTCCGGACAGTCTTCCATCACTTCAACTAATGATATCGGCAAAAAAAAAGAATGAAATTGAGTTCGAAAATCATCATGCTACTATTAGAGAGGTAGCACATGACCTCAACATCTCCTGTTAAACCGCTTGTTTGATTTTGCTCAACCAATCAGACATGCTGCGAGTTGAGGCTCTGTTCGTTCCGGATAGAGCTGAGTTTCCTTCAATGACGATATCGTCTACTGGTTGATGCATACATGCTGATTCGTGTGAACCACCGACCAGCCGCTTTACTCACCCGATTTAGCATCGGGCGACTTTTTTTTGTTTCCCAAATTCAAATTGTCACTGGGGATCCCATTTTGACTTCATACATGCCATAAAAGAAAATTCGCAGGAGCTAAAAGCCGTACCAAAAAGGGCCTATTAAAATGCTTCGATGGTTGGAAAAGGCGTCTGATTATGTGTATAGCTTCAAGAGCGTACCGGACACCAATAAAACTGAATTTTACTTCTAGAATCGTTAGTTTTTATCTGATTTTTATGAAATTTTGGGTAGATACTTAAAAATAATAATTGTTTTGCGCAGACTTTTAAAATTTTTGCAAATCATTTATTTCCAATATATACTGAGTGACAAAAGTAAAAGAACACCAAGAAGCAAATTTTATTTTTCATTCAAACTGTAGAGAGTGTGTACAGCACCACGGTGGTGCAACACATTATTAAGTTTTGTTGTTAATTCGATGAATTAATTTTAATCATTTGTTTAATTTTCTCTTATACATGTAACTAGAATAAATGGTTAAATTTCAACAACTATTTTTTGGTGTTCTTTTACTTTTGTCACTCAGTATATTTTTTAATTTTTTTGAGATTTTAGAAAAAAAAAAGTGTCAGCGCAATTCTATAGATAATTTAAATAATTTTGTCGGTGTTATATTTTAAAATTGTTCCTATCTTTCATTCCTATCTTTTTCTTTTAAACCTTTGAACCCTTTCGGTTCAACTACTACAAGAAAACCTGTTGTCTAAATCGATTCATTTTATTCAAATGTATTACTGAAGTGATGCGATTGACCGGTACATTTTCAAATACTTTAAATGGCTTTGGCCTAATGTTGGTCAAATGTTATCAATACGATATAAGCTATCGACGAATTTAAAAACACTATGATGAACTTGGTATAATATATCATTCAGTTAAATCTAATTTACACTTGGACTAATAAAAAAATCTGACTTACCCATTGCGAATTTGAAATTAAAAATGCGGAAATTGTCGAAACTAAAATCGTAGTGGCGCTGCAAAACATTGTTGCCACAATTATTTTTCATCGTGATTTTTTATTTTTGTTAATGAATTAAAGTTATTGAATGATTTAAAAATGTTATTCTTTGACTAGTTTATGAACACATTTATATACTGAATTAAATTTATTTAAGTATAAAATTCAAATAAAATAAACTTCATCAAGTTCAAATATGGTTGGATGTACATTTGACAACGTTGTAATTGTGAAAGCTTCTTTCTAATTTTTAAAACAATTGACATTTGTCACTCTATTGTGTTACCGACTTCACGCTCCACTGTCAATTTGACTTTGACACGTCATTTTTAGGTTAGAAGGGTGTACTATTTATTTTGAAAAACAAGCAATAAACAAACAGGCGATATGTTCAAGAAACTAAAAGAAAAAATCACCGAAGAGGTCAAAATATCTCCGCAAAGGTTCGCGGAATTTACCCAATCCGTTAGCGATAGATTACAAAACAACACGACGTCCGATGATAATTTCTTTTCTATAGGGGACGATGGTAAATTATTTACCATTTATAATTACTGAAATAATTGAGAATAATATTTTAGATGCAAACACGTCTGTAGATAGTAATAGTTACGGGTTTTCGAGTGTTCAACTAGTGTCGCCTACGCAAGATAGAAATAGAAGAGGTTCGACATCATCATTAGCTAGTGATGTTTCTTTTTTACCTAAATATGAACCAGGCAGCATGTACCACTTACAAGTAAGTACTTCAGACACATTTTTTTATGAAACAAAGCTAATTTTTGTGAATTTTTTTTTAATGAAAAACTCGTTTTTAGTCAGACTTGGATGTATCAGCTAGTGAAGTGGAAGACAACATTTCGACTGCTTCTTCGCAATTGGGGCACCTGAGCAAAGAGCAGGTGTACTTAGCCTTTCAAAAATCGCAAAATCAATACCACAAATACCGAGGAAGATACACCGATTTGTCCAGGCACTACAAGAACTTAGAAAGGGAAATTGTCAAAATGAAGGTAATTATAACGAAGCGAAATGGGAACTATTCCGATTAACTGTGAATTTTCAGAGCGTGCTCGAAGAAACGCAAGATAAAGCCATCAGAAGGGCGGCAGAATTGAAAGAGCAATGCAATTTAGAGCAGAAAGCGAAAGCGCATTTAGAAGGTGCTCTGAGAGACGAAATCGACGAGAAAAATTACAAAATAAAAACCCTGCAAACTAAAATTAATCTACTCCAAAACGATCATGTAACGAATAATTCAGTGAGCCCCGACGACTCGGCCAACAGCTCGGACAATTTAGAAAATTTAACCAAATACCTCAACGAATCCCGCAAGGAAATAGAGAATTTAAACGCGAAAATACAGGAACTGAAAGCGAACACGATCGTATTCCAAAGCAAAGAGCAGGAATACAAAACGAAAATCTCGAATTTCGAAAAGGAAATCGCCCAATTTTCCGAAAGAGAAAAGGAGAACAACTTGAACTTGGCGCAGAACAAAATGGAATTGCACAAAGAAATTCTGCTCAAAGACGCCGAGTTATCGAACTTGAAGAGAGATTACGATACGCTCAAGCAGAAATTCGAATTCCTCGAAACCGACAACAGAAGTCAAAAGATGGAAAATTTGCAATCGCAGAATGCGAAATTGATCGAAAAGGTCGAAACGCTTTCGCAAAAATGCAACAATTTCGAGAGCGATTTAATCAAAATGCAAACATATAAAATAGAAATAGACGGTTACAAGGAGAAAAATAATACATTAGAAAAGCAAATAAAACGATTTAAATGAAGAATTGGCCAACTCCAGTGTCCGATACGAAGAAAATATACAAAAGATTCGCGAAGATGCAAAGAAAGGCATCTTGTCTCTAGATAACAAAATCAGGCAAAAATTAGAATTAGAATTTTCCGAAAGGGAACAAGAAATTCGAGACGAATTCACCGCGAAATTGCAGGAATTAAATACCAACAATTCCGTGCAGGAATTACAAATGCAACTACTCGATAAAGACAACACCCTTAAAACTACGAACGAAAAACTGGCGGAAATGACATCCGAATTAAACAAAAAAACAGAATTATACAGAGATCTAGAAACCAATCATTTGCAGCTGATCGAAAACTGCGCCGAGCTGCGCGAAAACATCTCCAATTTGGAGAAACGCAATCTATCAGTGGACTCTTACGAAGATAAAATCCAGCGGCTCGAAGCCCACATTCGCACCTTACAAGACGAATTACAGGCCTCTGAAAGCGCTGTTGAATCAATCAAAAACGAATCACTGCTGAAAAACCAGAAATCCAGCCAGATCCAAGAGGAACAAGCCAAGCAATTGGAACTACTCTTAAAAAACCAAAACGAAGAAATCGACAACTACAAACAAATTCTTGAATCAAAAGAAGGCGAATTGAGCGATATAAACAATAAATATTCCCAATTACAGTCGCAGTTGAATAATACACGAGAGAAGCTCCAGTTACTCGAAACTGATTCGGTTATCGAGAAACAACGAACCGATTCGTTAGAAACGAGACTTAGAGAATCTGAAGAAAATTATAAATCAAAAGAAGACGAATTAAATGACGCCAATAAAAAATATTCCGTCCTACAAGCAGAGCTTCAAGAGAAGCTTCGATTACTCGAACAGAAAGAAACTGATAAGATTAACGATGAACAAGTAACCGATTCGTTGAAATCGCAACTAAAAGAATTAGAAGAGAATGTTAAATCGAAAGAAGGCGAATTAATCGATATCAATAAAAAATATTCCCTCTTACAGTCGGAGCTGCACGATACACAAGGCAAACTAAAACTGCTCGAACTGAAAGAGGACGCCTTGATTATCGACAAGCAAGACGCGGATTTGTTGGAATTGAGGCTTAGAGAAATGGAGGAGAGCCACAGAATTCATTTGGATAACCTCGAAAAGGAACACGAAACAGTATTAAAGGATCTGGATTACATTGGACAGAATCTAGCGGAGGACGATAGTTTCACGAAGCTCTTCGCTGAAGGCGATATCAAGGAGAAACTTGGCCTTTTGAAGGAGTTGTGCGAGAGAAAAGAGAAACGCTCCGACTTAGAGCGACAAAACGCCTCTAAAGCGGCTCAAATCGAAAAACTCGAGTCGGACGTGTCGGACTTAATGAGCAAGAACGGTGAACTAGAGCTGAAAATTCGCCATTTAGAAGACGATATAAACAGCAGGGAAAACGATAGCCGAGAAAAGGATATTTCCATTAAAAACCTCACGGAAAGATTGCAAGAGAATCACGATCAGAATAAGATTTTGCAGGAAACATTGCAAGAACTACAAACGTTCCATCGACAAAATGAGGATCGCATCGAAGAATTGGAGCACCAAAAATCGGATCTACTGATTAAATTGAACGCATTAAATAACGACCAGCAGCAAGAAAAAGAGTCGCGTGAAAGCACGTTAACAAGCCAAACGGAAATAATTAATAAGCTAGAAAAGGAATATTCGGTTCTCAAAAATGAATACGATCGAGAAAAAACCATCTCCGATAGTACGAAGCAAAAATTGACCGATTTAGAAGAATCGCACAATAACCTACAAGCTAATTTAGAACGGTCGATTTCAGCTAACGAAAAACTCAAAAGCGAAACCGAGGAAAAAGACAAGAAAATCGAAAAGCTCGCAGAAGAAGCTCGAAGAGTAAACGAAGAAACAATCGCAGAATACAAAACCAAACTCGACAACAGCACAGACGATTTGAATACCAAAAACTATCAAATACAATCGCTCCAAGAAGAAATCTCTTCGCTTAGAGCCAACCTGGAAGATTTATCGCACGAGCTTTCGCAAAAGCACGCCGATCTAATCGAAAGGGACGCCGAGCAATCGAAGACGAAAGAAGAAATCTCCGAATTGAACAGAAGGCTGCAAGAGCTTTCGCTGGACAACAGAACCGTATCGGACGAAAACCAAACTCTATCTCAGGAAAAAGACGAGCTCAAAGTCGCCTTGGAGCTTCTCAAACGCGAAAACTCCAACTCCGAACGCCTCAAATCAGACAACTCAGCTCTAACCGGCACGATACAAGAGCTTACTAACAAACTGTCGGAATTAGAGCAATCCAAATTTGAACAATTCGAACAGTCCAAACCGAAATCGTCCGACAAACCGGACGATTCGGAGCTCCTCAAGGAGGAAATCGCCAAGTACAAATCCCTGGTAGCCACCAACAAAAGCTCGATAGAATTCTACGAGAACGAATTGCGGAAAACTCGCAACCAGAACGACAAGTTGAACAGGAAACTGGACGAGACACTGGTCACACTCGGCCATTTTTCCGAGCTGTCCAATTCCACCGAATTGGAGTACTTGAGGAACGTGCTGTACAATTACATGCTGGGGAAGGAGAGCGTGGTGTTGGCTAGAGTGATAGCTGCGGTTTGTAAATTCGATCCGCAACAAACGGAGACGGTGTTGCAGAAGGAACAGCAGAAACAGACGTTGGTAAGTGACTAAATTTCGGGTGTATTAATAGGGAATAGATGATGATATTCGCTATAACGCTATTAAAACATATACAGGGTGTTTTTTAATAACATGCTAATACTGATGGATGTGCCTTGGACCAATTTAAACTTCATATGACCATATGTCCTAAACCTAAAATTTATTATTACCCAATTTCTACACAGCGGCTATAATGCAGCGGTAGCGTACAAAATGAATGCATTTAATTTTTTTATGTGAAACGTTGAGTCGTACAAAAAAAAATCATGAAATCAAATTTGTTCTAAATTGAACGAGGCCTCCAAAAATAATTTTTATTTCAAGAAAAAGCAGTGGCGTACTACTTTTACCCTCAAAAATATTTGCCCCGAGTCCAGTACGGACGGCACTGTTTGAAATAAAAAAATGTTTTTTTGGTCAAAAATTAATGCATAAACGCCGTACACCAAATTTCATAAAAATATTTAAAGTGGTATGGAAATGACAATAAAAAAATATTTTTTTTCTTAAAGCTTTAACACCCTCAAAAGTTTAGGACATAGGTTCATATGAAGTTTTTTTCTTAAAATTGATCCAAGAATCACCCCCTTCAGTATTAGCATGTTATTAAAAAACACCCTGTATGTTGGGCCACCCTGTAATCACTTTTTCGTTTCAGTTGGGCCAGCTAGGGCTCATTTAACAGTCGGATAACGTAGTGGCTACTAAACCGAAGTTGAGTTGAATCGAAGCGCAGAAACTACTTACCCAAGGCTCCAGTATTCGTCCCCCCAGGGGACTCTAATAATAACCAGCGGACTAATGTAGAGGGGAAACTTTTGTCTCCCTTTAACAATTTCCAGCCGAATTGATATTTGTATGAATTGTAAAAATATTTTTGTTTATCTTGAAGATTTTATTGTTAGAAGAAAGCGTTAACGCAAAGTATTCGGTAGGTTTAATTGCTAAAGTTTGAAATTTAATGAGATTTGGATTTTTCTTAACAACCGTACAAATAATTAAAGTTATGGAGTATTTCGATTATTTAAATTAAGTGAAACGACAAGCCTTCAAGTAAAAATAGCCTTAAAATCTACAATGTGTACCTTTTTAACTACAAATTTAAATATTCATTAAATTTATTCTTCTTAATTAAATTATGCATTCTTAATTCTTGCAGTTTTATTGTCAATTTGAAGTAAAAAAGGTATAAAAATAACTTAAAATGTGATAAACAATATACCCTGTAAGGAATTTAACTTGAAAAGAATTTTTATACAGGGCTGTAAAACCTTTGGCAAGGCTTTTAATAACACTTTGCGAACATACGAGGTGGCCAAATTAAAAGAGTGGTATTAAATAGAAAAAAAATTAGACGCATTTAAAAAATAAATTTAATTTATCGAGTAATATAAATCAACTTGTGCAATAAAATATGTTGCCCCGTGTTTAATATGACTACAACTTTTATATTTAATTTTTTCTGTGACTAATATAGGAGCTATTTTACTTTTGGCCACCCTGTTTTAGTGTAAATTATTCACACAAATATCTATTAGTAACGAAGTTAATATTTGTTGGGTATTTTCACTACTTTATAAAATATAATTAAAAATGATTGTCGCATTTTTTTAGTAATTTGTCGTTCAATTAAATCACAACGTACTAATATCTAATGTATTTTTTATCACTATCATTTTTTTGTAATTGTAATTCAAAATTATTCTTATGATTGCCATCTAATGTAATTAATAGATATTTTTGTTGACGAATTCGTGAACATTCCAATGTTTACGTAAAGCGAGCGAAAAAACTTGAAATTTTATTTATTTTATTTTCGTTATTAGGTAACCTTTGTATGTACATAGTGGTTGTGCAAATATATGTGTATAATTTTTATATGTAAATTTATTAGTTTTCTTTCACTCTCGTTTCTAGAAAATGCATATCTTGCAAAACTCGATAGATCAAAAAAAGAGACATAATAAATAGAATTTATTACAAATAATATAAAAAAATGATAAAACAAATTTCTTTATGTAAATTAATCCTCACAACGAGGCTATATTATAATCTTAGTAACTCGAACGGGGACCTCAAACTCTCAAACCTGATGAAGAAACACCCATACCAAAAATAAATTTAAATTAAAATACTTGTTTACAATTAAAATAATGTATAAACATTGGCATATTAATATAATACTCTTTTCGTATTCAAGATTTATCATTTCAAATAAACATTAATTTTTATCAACATAATCATTTTACTGAATCATACAGTAACAATTTTTTAGGATACTACAGAGTTCAATTCGTTAACAAGAATTAAATTTATTTGAGATATAATATCCATCTATATGTTAAAATTAGGTAGTTTTTCATTTAAAAGAAACCGAGTTTCGATAGGCTAGTAACAATATTGAGAAATTATATTTATCCACTCAATCTCGCACACACCTTAAACATATTAAACGTTCGTAAACTGATGGCCTTATTGCAGTAATACATCTAGCTAAAAAAAGTCACAATTAAAACCGTTTTAAAAATTCCTCGGACACTATTCTAGCCCGTGCATTGACTGCCAGCTTCATTTCCGATATCTCCTTATCGATTTCCTCCATGAAATGTATAACAAAGTCCACTAATTTATGCTTATACATTTGCTCCGTGTGGTTGTTGGTTATTAGGAAACTAATGTCGTAACCTTCGATGGGTTTCCTTCGAAGAACGATGAAATTCTCAGCCCTCATCATCATGAATCGCATGAACTTCTTGCAGAGGATTTTCTCGATTTCGTCGGCTTGCTTCACCGATATGCTGATCCGAATCGAATTGACGGACGATTCAATCAGTACTTTTTCCTTTTCGTTTCTGGATATTACTACGGGATTGAGCAGGAGCTCCTTCGACGTCCTAACCTCCACTTCTGGTTTGTTGTGGCGCTCTACCACTTGGGACGAGAAGTTATCCAGGCACATGGCGGCCATTAGAGTGTGCCTGACGGCGCTTAAATAGGGCTTTAACGTTGCGGACATTTTAGATAGTTTATTTAAATAGTAATGACTAAACAACCACACCTCCCGATTTGTCAACCTCCACCGGTTGTTGTTTGATAAATGAAGTGATAAAAAAATGACACTTGACTGACTTGACACTATTGACAGGAGATTTATCGGATATTTGACAGATGTCAGATGAATGTCAAATTCGACGAAACGTTGATAATTTTAGTTCGCTGAATAGTCGTAGTACTTGAGGCTATTGAGGAAACGAAAACGAAGATAATGATTTAAATATTTTTTTTAATGGGCTCGTTCGACACTTTTTTTTTATTTGCTTTTTGGAAAGACCACACAATTTTAAGTCACTATGCAAAAAATCAGAATTAAATTCCATGTAGAAGTCACTTAAAAAGGCCTTAAAAACCGTCGCGCTGAGCGTTCGCTCGAATTGACTGTGACGTCACTGCATGCGTTGCGAGAACAAATTTGTAATATAGGCTGTCGATTGATAATATTGAAACGCGCTTTTAGGGTTTTAAATAGGCTTAGGGAGTTTTAAATAATGACGGTCAATAAATCAAAAAATAGTTATAAATATTGCATTGTTCCCAAATGTCGAAGCACTAGTTTTAAGACGCCTAATAAAGGCGCCTAAATACCTAAATAAGACGCCTTCCGCGCGATTTAAGAAAAAACAAATTGTGGCAAAAATCAATGAAAAGAAGTATATGTTGGTTAGTACAAAGTCAACACATTTTGTCTGTGAAGATCATTTTAATATAAGTATTAATTATAATAATTAGCTTGCTTAGTAAAAATAATTAAATTTTTTAGTTTGAAAACGATATGGAAAATTACATGTATTTTAAAACAATGGCTAATTCCCAATAAAGCAAGATGTTGTACCTAATATCTTCGACTGCCAAAAATTTCAAAGCGTTAAACACACTGTACAAGCAAGAACAGTATTTTTAAAAAGACAGCGGTAAACTACTGTCTAGGATTTGTCTAGTTGTTCTAAAAGTACTCGGAATGAACAGAACTATGATATGGATGATGTGAATTTGACAATGGATAAAAATTTAAACAACACTATTACAAATAAGGCCTGTCATAAAAAAATCAAGTTTATATAAACATAATGCCCAAACTTTTTTCAAAACAAGCTTAGTGTGATTTGACTCGTTCGGGACAGTTACCATATGATTTTACTAGTAAATTAGATGACACTCTTCCTATTTCTTCAAGTGATTCTTCAGAATTTGTGACTACTTGATCGGGATCATTTTTTGTTAATTCTGAGTCAACTTGGTCTAATGAAAAAGAGAACATTATAAAAAGGGTAATGCATGTTATAGAGCAAAATCCAAAACTTACATAGGTAGGTATTAGTTATTATTTAGGTATTCCTAAATATTTTTACGAACATAATCTCATTAATCGATAACCAAAATATTATACTTACAATTAGCATTAATTATTTATTATAATTACCCTATATAATCAATTAAACATAGTCGTTAAAAAGACGAAACGATCGCGAATGCAATGCAAGTTAACGCAAGTGAATGCGAAGCGGACAGCGGAGAGATCGCATGCAGTGACGTCATCATCGTACTATCGCGGAGACAAATAATCGCATCTTTAAACTCGAATAATCAAAGAACCGCTGATCGGATCAACTTGAAACTTTCAGTAACAATTTTTTTTGACCTCTTCTTTATGTATATAAAGTTTGATCAAATTCTAAATTTTATCGAATGAGCCCATTCTATTTTTCATTTTTCTATTATTGAAGAGGTCACAAAAAAGCTATCAACGGAGAAGTAGTGTAGGTATAAGATGTGAATATTTTGATGATTTTAAGAAGAAAAGTTTATATCAATATATGTCTATAAACCTTAGTTTTCGAGCTACAGAGGGTGTTACTGTTTTAGGAAAAAAAACTTTTCTATCCATAATTTTCTTATTACTCCAGATATTTTTATGATTATCCCTCTTTTTAATTATTAAGGAGCATTTTTTGAGGTATAAGATTTTTAAAATTTTTACCAGTGACGTCCGTACGGGGTTTGAACATGCTTAAAGAAAAAATGGCACGCCATTGCTTTTTCGAAAAGCCAAAATTATTTTTAAAATTGTCATTTATTTTGGAGCAAATTCGGCCCGAAGACTTATTACTTTCGTAGGGCGCACGATTTAAAATAATAAAAAAGAAGGAAAAGAAAACGTAATTTACTTATTACATTTAATTTTGCACAAGATTCACAACATACAAATATAATGTTTTGATCAATATTGTTTCACATATCAATTGCGAAAAATTCTTATAGATTAAAAGGATTATAAAATAATTAAGTGTAAAAACACCGGACCAATTAATAAATTCAGTCTAATTCAAAAATATCCTTGTAAATATCCCCAGTGTAAATAAAATTATTTTATACTTATATAAGAGTTTGTACGTTTATCCAGATTGTTAATGTTAAATTAATAATATTTTTATGAGGTTGTTAAAAAAAGTGGAAATATTTGTAGAAATTATAGGGGATTTACATAGGGAAGAAGGCGATATTGATAAAAATTAGAAGATTTACATATAGGAAAGAAGGCAATATTGATAGAAATTAGGGGTTTTACAAGGGACCAAACCCCCTTTATTATTTTTTAATAATTTATTAACCCCTTGTAATATTAATAGGTACGTTTTTTAATCTTCATATGTGACCTATCTAAATAAGTAAATACCAAAGATAATTCAAGATATTGCAAATAATTCCATAATTTTATAAATAAGTGAATTTAGTAAATGTCGAAAATTTTTTCTGTTTATCTGAATCCAGCAGTTTTAACAGAATATTTTCAGACTGATAAAAATCATAAATTATTTGTGAAACATCATTAATGTTTTTCTTTAAGTAAATTAGTTATCTAAAGGATCTGAAACCAGCACAGATCGCTCTAATAAATTATAAATTGACCGATATAGCGTCAGTTGTTTCTACTTTAAACTGTAAAAAGTTTTTTTTATAAACTATACTATAAATCATCAAAAAATTTGGCTTCTCACTATTCGGTTTTGTGTATAAATTCGGATGGGTTAGAGGAGTAATAGCATAACCCGCTTTTCCTGCTGTAAACAAACAATTTTCATCATTAATTTATTCTTCGTAGAATTTTTAGAAAAAATCTAACTTCTTCGTAGGAACAACTGACTCTATTTTCATAATTACAATACTTATGATAAATATTTTTTAAATACACAGGTTCATTGACAAAGTATTGAAGGAAATTTTACTAGAAACACCCAATTTGTTTACCTAATAAAAAAAATCTCTCTAACAGTGCGATCAAGTTGTACAAATTTCATTAAATACTTTCGCCATGGGTTAATTAGAGAATATTGGACATCTGTACACCGGGAAGTTATGTTCATAAAATGCATTTAATACCAAACGTGCAGGGGCATTTCATCCTCTAACAAAAGGCTCTTTCAGGGGAAAGAGGCTCTACGGAAAAATAAACAGTTAAGGTACACAAACAGCCCTGCAAATATGGTAAATATTCAGTTGGGCAACGAGAAAATTTTCCGGTTACCACCAGAAAATCCATCTTGGTCTCTCTTTTGGCTACCAAAACGCAGGAACTTCAACAAAATCCAGCACCAAACTAACTGCAATTCCCTTATTCCGATGGTCAGCAGTTTTCCGGCAACACGAAGGTTTTCCCCGCGTGCTCATCGTCACCGTAAGTCCCGCTTTCCGGCCGCTCGGGAACCCCAGGACCTCTCAACTCTAGTGTCACCAAATTCCTGCAACCCTCCAATGCCAGGACGACGAATTTCCCGTTCGAGGTTATCTCGCAGGCTGTGATTTTATTTTTGGGCGTGAAAACCGCTATCAAACCGCCTTAAAAATTAAAACAAAGATGTTGATTGATTCTGGATAATATTTTGATAGGTACCTTTATTTAGGTCCCATATTCTTATGGATCTGTCTCGACATTCTAGGTCTCTGGACAGGCAGAAAACTCCAGTTGGATCAAGTTTTAAGGAAGATACAGGCGCCGTGTGACCGCTCAAGGACCATCTGCAATTGCCTGAAATGGGGATAAAATGAAATATTTACTCGATTAGGTTTTAGCGATAGTACCGGTGATGAGGTCCCAGACGAGGATCCTGGCGTCTTCCAAACCGGATATCACGCAGCCGCCTTGGGAACTTATCTCCAAGGATACAGTGTTGCAGGAAGGCTTCCATTTCTTGAACAAAGTGCCGCTTTGCAGGTCGTAGACGACGATAAAATTCGGATTGGGTTCGGATATTTCGTAGCACACGCAGCAGACGTAATTGCCTGGAAATAGTAGAGAAGATAATGATGAATTTACCATTATTAACCGATGGAAAGTACATACAAAGTTAGTAGATTTTGAAATTACCTTCATAAGTAATGGCTGATAAAGCGGTGATAAAATGATGATGGGGAATTCTGAGATCGTACAGCAGCTTTTTGGACTTAAGATTCCATACTAGCAGTGGAAATGGTTTCTGAGTTTCGTCGCCGCAAACGAGGACTCTGGAAAATAAACGAAAGTAATAACAAGTTCCTGCTACGTGTTGTATTGAATGGTTTACCTTCCATCGCCAGAAACCAGCAGGGAATTGAGAAACCGGTCTTCTCCAGCTTTAAAAGTAGTCACGCAATCGCCTGGTAAAAAGCACAATTGTTAGTTATTAATACAACAATACCAGGAGGGACTGTGCCATCTTGTATAATGTAGGTACTAACCGCTCTCTAAATTCATAAGGTTTATGTACATCCTATTCCTGCTGAGCGCCACTAAATGGGATTGGTCGTGCAGCCCGTAGAAGGGCATTTTTTGGTTCATGACGCCCTTTAGCTTCGTTAGGAAACTACCAGAATTCAAATCGAACGTTCGTAATTCTCGCCTGCACAGCACTATGCATTTTAATTGGTCAATAGGGATCAAGTTGATGGGATTCGGAACTCCCTGTAGTATCCTCACTGGCCTGCAACTGAAAATCAAAAAAAAGTAGTAAGGTTTTAAAACCTCTGCTACATTCTTTCTCTAATGAATAAATGTTGAGATTTGCACTGTATGAAGTAATATGTAGATGGAAAAGTTTTAAGTAAATGTGTCCTTGGAGATTTATGAAGAAGATCTGAAGACCTTCAGACACCTTTTTTTAAGCGATTTTTAAAGCCTTTTTCAAGGATGTCCAGGCCACCAGGACTCCAGATCTTCAGAGGTCTTTAGGTCTCCATGAAGAACATTTCAAAAAATCAAACGTGGATCTAGAACAAAAAACATTCTAAACCCAAAACTGGAGTTCCAAACACTTAGCTACCTTTCCATCTACTTTTGCCCTAAATATCCCACACAATATCCAGCCCAGAGGCAACCTACTTTATGACATCCCAAACGCAGAGCTCTTTGCTATCAGTGGACACAGTCACGATGAATTGATCAGTCTTCGGCAGCCGTACGACCAAATCGAAAGTCTTCTGCACCGTTCCTGCTTCGACATCCCCCTCGGGCTCCGCGTCCCCGTCGTTTACGGCCATCAACGACAACACGGGGGGTTCCTTGCACGCTTCGTACAACCTCGACAAGCCGTCCCCGTCTTCCAAGCTCAGCTGGTTCCCGTCGATCCTGTCGCTGAGGTACTTGTACATGTGCGAGTAGAACTGCACCCCGTCGTAGTTCAAGATGGTGGCGTGCGTTTCTATGAAGTCCTTGAGGACCTGGGCGAGAGGATTGGGGGCGGCGTGGCCGAGGTTGATGTCTTCGAGGATCTGGTAGCAGTTGGAGCCGCAGACTTTGTCGTAGATCCACGAGGAGTCGGTGAGGTAGGGGGAGTTCTCTATGTCGGAATGCAAATGGAAGTGCTGGTAAGGGAGCTCGTCCAAACGGCGTCTGTTGTAGCTGTAAAGAGATGGATTGTTTGGGGAAAATTCGATCCTTTTGGGACATACCCTCGTTCGGAGGGATGATGATTTTACTTAATGGGTGCTTAAACAAGTTATGAGGCTATGTCTGGTGTTGGAATTTCACGTCTATAGCTTGGTTGGAGCCAATTTTGACGAACTGTGTAATTTCCTTATTGTGAATGAAGCAAAATCGCGGGTTTTAAAAAAGCTACCGAAATACCAAAACAAAAAAATAATAAAATCAAAAGAAAGCTTTATTTACAATATGTACATGCACAGTGTAGCGAAAGTAAATACAAAAAATAAAAAAATGAACCAAAAAATATCACAGGCAAACTGTTCTCATACCATTTCTCTAATTTGTTCACTTGCACTGTCAGCCGGGCCTGCAAATCCTTCGATTTTTCGTCCCACCATCGACCCTTCAAACAATAAAAACAAAACCTTATTCAATATTCTTTCTCCAAAAACATTTTAAGCCAATTTATGTAATAACAATAATAATAACCACCTGATAATAGTCGTATATCATGCGATGAGCCCACTTCTTGTGCTCGTGGAACCTCTTCGTGGCCGCCTTCTTCAGCAGGCTGTCCTTCCACTGGACACCTAACGCATTCCCGGTTTGTGTCCAATGAAGAAACGGCGCTAAATATTTGTTCAAACGAGACCACATAAAACAAGCCGGTGCCCAGGACACTAAAATGTTAAAATAACCAATCAGAAGGTGGTTATTGTAAATTAGATGTCTAAAGTTATCATCAAGTATGTAAATTAAGAGTAATACTTTAATGAACACCATTCAAAGTCGGTGCCTAATTTTGTATTTTTTAGAGTCAAAAAATAATGGGAAAAGAAAATTCTAAAAACTCACCGTAGGTGGTATCAGTATGGAATATTTCGTCGAAGGCCAGCAAATCGATCATTTCCGAATCGGTTAAACTGTGCTTGGTGCAAGTTAACAAAGCCAGAGCGTGCTGGACTTGATTAACGCCCAGGATAGTTTCCAATTCCTCTAGCATAAGGTGCAATTGATCGTTGACGTCCCCTTTGGGAACGATTTCGTGATCCTTGTCCACCCACCAGGACGTTTGCCAAGCTAAAACCTTGGAATACAACGGTATGGTACACTCCTGGACAGATTTCAAAACGCAGTCCTGCACTTTAGAATTAACGCTATGATTGTACTGCATGACGCTGGACATCAGCACCTCTTTGGCCTCCTTCTCGCCGAGCACCGGCACCTGGATGAAGCAATTCCGGTCGATTTTCTCGTTGATTTTCTCCAGCATCTCACTGTTCTCTGATACAGAGATGATTAGCTTAATGTTATCCGGCAGCACGGTGGGCAGCCAGTCTATGCTCTTCGAGCTATACGATCTAACTTGGTCCAAACCGTCTAGGACTATCACCAGAGGTCTTTGCAGGCAGCTGGCCGTCAGCAGGTTCGGAAGAATCTTTTGATAGGTCTCTATATTCTGGAAAATATCGCAATGGGTTAAATCAAGAGAAATTTGCTCGTTTGCTCGAAATTACTTACGTGATTACAATAGCATTTGTGACCGTAATTCAGGATGGAGCATTGGTTGGTTATGGAGCTCAACAGCTGCTCGACGGTGCTCGATTGAGCGCTGATCCCTACAAATCTAACAATCAGGAAAGCTTCCGGTAACCACTGTTGGCAACATTGCACAGCTCTCGCCAACAGCGTGGTTTTACCGCAACCGCTCGGTCCGTAGATCACTAGTGGTTTCGAACTGTCTCCTTTGATGTACCTGGAAATACTCCGGTTTTAGGCTCAATTACGCATCGATTCGGGCAAACTCACCCTTTAACATCGTTGACGAGAGCTTCCCTGTTGGTACTGCATTGAGCCGCTTTTTGGCAGAAGGCCGTCTGTTGGTTGAGTTCTTCGAATAGAGCAGCTTCGATGCCATAGCTGGGCCTCAACATGGCCTTGTTCTGGTGTTCCTCGATGATGGTGTTCACCATATCGCTGAGGTGTTTGTTCAGGTGATGCACCACGGTCAGGATGTAATCCTCGTGCTCCGGAATTTTGATGTCGATTCCTCCTTCGACGAATTTCACCGGAATCCGAACGATGTGTTTCTCGGCTAGTTGATTCTGTCGATTTGATCGTATGTTAAATTTACTCAAGCAGGATGCCATCGGTACAATTATTAATAAGCTTACTTTTAGATCTTTCTGCAGGATGTCTAATCGCCTGTGAGCTTCAGCTTCGCAAGGGCTCATGTTGTCCGGTGTTTTGGCTGTGGGCGTGTAGACTCTGTTTAACCAAACGCACCTTTTGGCCAGCTCTTGGCTCATGAATACGGTGTTGTGCACTTCCTGGAACGTGAATTAGGTTGAGTTCTAGATCGATTTGTAAGTCTAGATCGAATGTTCTAGTCTAGTTTTTGTCTAGTTTTAGAGTCCAGTTCTAGTCTACTTTCAGGTCGAATGCAATAGTTGAAAAAGCTACTCAGACTGTTTAATTTCTTTAAAAACTGGTTGACCAGATGGTTAACCCATAACATCAACAAAGAATTGTGGAAAAAAATGTTGTTCTATTCCGAACTATTATTTAATTAATGGTTTGGGTTGTTTGAAGAGTAAAATTTCATTTACCTGCTCTACAACTGTGGTCAAGTAAGTGTCCCTGAGTTCGTGGGAAAATACGTTGATGAGCACGGCGAGCATTTTGTCAATTTCAGTGGCCCATTCGGTGAAGGCCTTCTCTCGATCTTCCAGGGAGGATTCCTTGAATCCCGGAATGTGGCTCGATATGGGTCGAAGTCTATAACAGGGTGGTTGGGCGTCGCTGTCTAAAGTGTACCTACAAGTAAGGTAATATAAATGTCCACGTCTTAATGGTTATAACTGTATATAAAATATCCGCTATCAGGAGAATAGTACACTTAGAGGATAGAGTACCTCTAGCAGGTTTCATGCTCTTACTTTTCCTTCTGATGGTATTATCATCTTACCATTTAGATAACAATCCTTGAGCTGACTGGTTTTCCGCACTATCCATGGCCATTTTAAAATCGGTACTCTCTATAGTAATCGGCAAAAGCTGAGTCCCTAAGGAGTTATTAAGAAATAGTACCGGTATGATGTAGGCAATTTCCATTTGTCCTGAGAAACCATTAATTTTTGTAATTAGTATGTATAATTTTGTAAAGTCGATAGAACGCACTCGTCAATTCGCCGATGCAAAGTTCCGGAAACTCGTGGTCTTGCTGCTTTTCCAAAAGAGTTTTCCAATGCAGATCGACAATGTGCAGTTCGTACCCTTTGGACCTGCAATGCGCCCTTAATTCCGGGTAAATCGTGTTGTGAAGCGCTCCCTTTTCAACGGTGCAATCTGCAACAGTAGACAATTCCTGCGTAAGAACTGTGACAAGTTTCAATTTTAAAAAAGTGTCAACCTTGAGAATCGGCCGCGCAGACGTAAATGACGATTTTCCGGCTTTTCAGGACGGTTTTCGTCTGCGATATTTTCCCCGTTATCAGGTTCTGGAGATTTTCCGACAAATCGGTCACTTCTTGCGGTAAATTGCCCTCGTAGGACTTGGCAAAGTCCTTGGGGCTTTGGCTACCCGGCGGGGAACTTAATGACATGGAATCTAAAGGAAAATTATGCATCTTTACTTCTCTCCATTAAAATCAAATAACTAAGCAAGCAGAAAAGAGATACAATGATATACAACATTCTACAAAAATGTACAAAAAGCTACAACATTCATTACAATAGGTTTAAGATTGAGTAAGCGATAATTAATTACTTTAGTATTAAACAAATAAATTGTTAATATCATTACAAAAAAACCAGTAGAAAAGCCAACTTTACATACAGTTTAGTAACGTATCGACAAAATACAAATGTATAGTGTTTCCAAACTCATTTTCAGTTATGAATGAGCTAATATACATTTGGTGCAAAACAAATATTAATGCACGTCACGTATAATTCAATATGTCACAAGCAGGCAGTGTTGCCGAACTTTATAGAGTTTACAAAATCTAAGAATTTTCTAAAATTGTCAAATTGCAAAATGGCAAGAACAAATTGAAAATTAGGGTCACTTGTTTTACGTTTCTAAACAGCTGACGTATTCAGGGGCTCAATATAATTAATAATCAAATTCCTTTATCGTCTGAAATATATTTAACAGTGCGAGTACAAGATTTAGTGTACAATTGATCCTTAAAAGAGTAAACCGCGAAATTTCTGAGAAAACTTCTGTATCTGAATTATTTAGAGTTCAAATTGTGTCATTTCTAACACAACTTGACGCTCGGTGACTACCAACCTACTATAGGAAAATAATAATAATTTTATGTAGAAACATTGAATTTTGACAATATACAGTATGTACGAACTGATCCGCTGCAAGCATATAATGAGAATAATGAGATAGCTAATTTAACTTTTGCTATGTAAGGAATAAAGAGAACATACGAAATAGTCACGCCCGCTATCCCCGCTATTCGCTAGTGAACGAAGCGAAGCGAATTGTCGAATTCTAATATCGGCCGGCAACCGATAAACAAGTTTCTGTTCTTTACTATCTTATAGTATTGATTGCGATTCTAATTCTAACGCTTGCAGCGGAAGAATTCGTACACTCTGTATATTTTTTTGGATGATTTAATTCTGCTTTTTAACATTTTCTCTCATCGGATCAACTGATCTCGGATCAAAGTCGGATTAATTGTTAGTACTGGCGGCCATATATTTGATTCCGATTTAATCTCGGCTTAATCATGGATTAAAGTTGATCCGCGTACGAGCAACCGGGCCTTTGTGTATTTATTTTTAAAAGTTGGTCACAATGCTTGTCAAATATGACAGATATTGACATTTGTTTTGCACCCACTGTACCTCATTTTACATACAATGTCTAATACATATTAAAAGGGCGACTAAGAGGGTCTTTTAAGCGAATTCTTGAATTTAATTTAAATACAATTAAGAATTGAATTTTGAATTAATGCCTCTATTTTCGTCGCATTTAAAACTGACTTTGGAAGAACTACACGCGTACGAACAAACAAACAATCGACGATTCCACTATCTTACTATAACTTATTATCTTACCAGAGACGCTGGCAAGGGCGCCTATGGCGGTTTTCGCGTAATTCGATTTTTTCTCTAAAGTACTGCTAGTACTGGATGGAGCATTACCCGATAGCAGTTGAGGTTTCCCGGCAGTAGTGGGTTCCAGGATGACGCCCGAATGGGGCGTCACATGGTTCAGGAGCGTTTGCTGTTTTTCGGTGGGCAGGCTCGTTTTTACTTGGTAGCTTCCCGATCTGAAAATGGGAAAATTTCATATAATATTGGTGTAATTGATCATAAAAAACCAAACAATTTGAATGAACCATTTTAATTCTACCCCGGTTATAACTGCAAGTATAAAGTATATCCTTTACGCTTATTTTTTAGCCATTTTGAAGCAACTGCAAATTTTCCTTTAGATGGAAAATCTCGTATTCTTTCTGCGTTAGTAAAATAGCAGAGGCGTAGAGATCGGATGCCATGACGTCATGGGAATGACGTCAATTCGTATATGTAACAGTGTATACGAGCGAGGATTCCAGTGACCTACTTTCTGCAGCAAGGATAACTACAGGATGCGACGATTTAATCTCGCCGTCCTTGACACGGGCGAATGGAAGGTGTTTAATAATTTAATATGAAAGCTTTTGTTTAGTTTATTAATTTGTACCGATTCATTTGGTGTTTCTTACTTTCCAGAAGTATTTTATTTATTGTAATTATCCTGGAAATTATTATTGAACTTATTATTGAATTATTATTAAACTTTAAATTATTATAATACTATAAACTCGGTATTGTAAATTTTATGATATAAAGGACGTTTGTACTTACTCCTCAGATCTCTGAGACATGTTATCCTTGTCCTTGTGAGCTTGTCCGCTGCTGCAGGAATTCCCCATCTCTGATGTTTTTTTGGTATTTGTACGCTTAGCTAATTCCTTAGCTTAGCTAAATTTGGTTCGATTTAACAGCTCTATTGAGTATCTTGCAACTATAAGTAAAAGAAAATGGGAAAATTCAGAAAGAAATTTGTAACAGGGAATTTTGGGTGAACAGGGTATTAAATGCTCATGCTAAATCATCGATAAAATTAAGATGAGCTTTTCACGTAAAATGCAAAGTTTATTTTGAAGTTAAAGGGCACGACTTGCCCTTTATGTGGTTATGTAGCATACAAAATTTCAAAGGTCTATTTTTACTCAAATTTGAGATAAATGATTAAAAAATAATTTTATCCAATAATTTTAGTTATTATATTTGGCATAAGTATTTTGAAATACCCTGCAGGAGGAAATATAGGAGGATTGTAACAATTAAATTTGACTATCTAATAAAATAAAATTTAAAGTATTATCAAAGTAACAAAAAATAAATGCAATTATTGTTTTGTATCAAACCGAATTTCTAAACCAACCATTCACTTTCGAAGAACATTTTACGCGAAAACCGCGACATTTACAGAAACGCATCCAAAATTAATCCAAATAATTTATTAACCTTGACGAAGAATTTCGAAAAAAAAAACCGCCTGCCCAGCGATTTGTACTATTTTCCAAAATATTACTTATTTTTAGATATCCGACAAAATTTCCTGCGCCGATTAAATCAAACAACAAAACACTTCATTACCACATCCTGGCGAAGGAATCCTGGACACTCGCAAACCATCCATAGCCGATTCGAAAGGGACAACAACAATAAATTCGAAAAATTAAACAATAAAAACCGACGCGACACCGAAGCCGGCGAGTTTACAAAAAAAAATATCTACAATACAAGGGAGCCCGTTAAAAACGCGCTTTCGACCAAATTTTACTACGAAATCTACGCTTTACATAAATAGATGAGGAGATATTTGGAACGATCCGACTGCATGCTTGACGTAAGTCACATACGTACGAACAGCGGGCAGAAATCGATTCGAAAAGAGAGCGGTCGAGCGCCGGCCCGTGACGTCAAACGACGCTCCAGTGGCGTACGTTTAAACTAATCCGCTTTAGATTTACCTACCACTGGAATTCGCCATAAGGAAACGGAACCGTTTAATACTGGTTAATTAAATTTAATGCATTTTTCTTGTTGATGTTTGTTGCGACGATAATTTATTAAATTAGCTGCACAAGGTAACATTAGTTATTGGGGTTTTGGTTTTTTTTATAATGGCACGTGTGGCATTACTGTAAAAGTCACACTTGTCAGTTCTTCTTACAAATTAAATATTAGGAAAAAAGAATCATTTACCAAAAGTTTTTGTCTAAAGGAAGAAGTACTTAGATAAATACACGGTACTTTAGTACCTACTCAAAAATACTTAATATAGTTACTAACCCTTCTTTGGTTTATACAGGGTGTTATTAAATTGAGTGCCGTTACTTCAGGATGTGAATATTTGGATGATTTTAAGAGCAAAAGTTTATATCAATATAAGTCCTAAACCACTTAGTTTTCGAGCTACAGGGTGTTACAGTTTTAGAAACAAAAATATTTTTTCTATCATAATTTTCTTTTTACTTTCTTATTTTCTCATTTATTTTGGAGCAAGTATGGTCTAAAGACTCACATTAGTACGACGCACCATTTTTGAGTAAAATAATAAAAACCAAAACAATTTTTAAAGTATTAGTATACAGTTTTACATGTATTATAAAGATGCCATCAAGAAAGCTACATTACCACGATAAGCTAGAAATTCATCCAAATACATTACTCTAACCATTGGGAACCACGATGGAATAGGAGATTAAAAAATCTGGCCACCTGATTAAGGTTATCTAGCCTATCAATGGAAAGGTACTTCCCACGACATTGAATGGTATATGATTAAAAGGAGTATTTGCTTGTTCTTCAAGTAAGAACTTTTATTTCCTAGTATTGGAGAATAATCTTTTACATGAAGTAAATTCTTCGATGGGAAGTGTTTACTTTGGTTAGAAGTAGAAACTAAGTACTAAATACTAGACAAATACGAAGACGCTTCCTGGCTATGATGCATCCACAGACGTGAATATTCCTTTAGAACTGCATGTAGCTTGTACATTAATACTACAAAATTCCCGTGAAGTTTTGGTTTTGTAATTCTAATATCATTATCTAACATCTATAGCTAATTCTATTTCTTGTGTATTTCGAGGAAAAGAAATCCAATAACTTCTTTAATTATATTTGACACAAAAAATGCCATTTTTAACACCTTTTTAGGTTTTTAGGTTTTATCTCTGATCAGCTTCATAAAAACTAAAAACTACACCAAACACTCCCTAATGGAGGAAATACTAGATAATATTAGTAATTTCTGTAGAATTAACTTCTATGTATCGAAGTAAATAAAGCAAAGTATGAAGTAATTACTCCTAGTACTTACTTTAGTCCGACTTTAAGAATTATGTGGAGTAAATGCTATAATTTTTTGAAGTAAAAACTACGAAATTCACTTGAAGTACAAGCAAATACTTTTAATCATACCACTCATTGAGGCACTACAAGAAAGTGTCAACCAAGCACAATATATGATCTAGGCATCTACGATATACATAGAATGTAAATTCTGATTGTCAAATAATGTTCAAAAAAATCTTCAAGATATTGATAAGGATTCTTGAAGTTTTTGATAATTAAGTTGGCTGTTGAAGGTAACATTAGTTATTGGGGTATTTTATGATCTCACGTGTGGTAATACTGTAAATTACAATTATCAGTTCTTCTTACAAATTAGACATTAGACATGATAAATCGTGTCCCAAAATAATTTGTTGAAACGAAAAAGAACCGTTTAATAGTAGTTAGTAAATTTGTTATCCTTACCTTTTTCAAGATCAATACAGATCTTCTGTACAATAAAATATCACAATTATAGTGATAAATAAATTTATCACTATAAAGTACACGTAATTGATACACTAAAACGGCTTCAACATATGTAAATAGTTCAGTTAATGAGTCGATTCTGAGTCATTATTTACTTACGAGACGCTAAATTTATTTAATTCAAATACATAGCAAAATATTTTGGTCATATTCCAGTTAAACACTACACTCGATTAAATAAAATAAACGATTTGCGTGTAGATTTATTAGGGAATATAAAATGCCGTTTTGAGTAACTAATTTATTGATTATTTACTTTTATTTACAACGTAAAATTTATAAATACAAGAATTCGTTTAATAAAATTTAGTCAGTTCTAAATGGATCCGCATTATGTACACATCGTCCATTTTCAAAATACCATTACCTGCGAAAAAAAAAACGTACGCGCAATTTAAAATTTATCGCGAAACGTTCCGTTATCGTGAATTCGACAATTTTCCAAGGTCACTATGTGAACGTATAAAGTACTTTTGTAACAAAAAAAAATATCAACAAGTAGAACGATTCCGCTGAACAGCATCAGTAAAATTCGTTTAATAAATAGGTATACAGAAGAAATCGAATCTATCTTAAGATAACGTTATCGTAGAATTCCTTGCCCTCTCTCGAAGACAGGTGCCTCTTGAAGGGGTTCCAGGTCAAGCGGAGGAGCTTGGTGTTGCCGTGATGATGAGCCATAGAGCCCGATGGACTTGACATGCCGCTCGACACGCCCGAACTGCTGCTGTTAGTCGAAACGGATCCTTTGTTATTGCCGGGAATTTTGTTGGGCTGCAAACCAAACGAAATCATCCACATTACGATCGATTTTCTAATCGATTCTAATCGTACCTTCAGATAGTTCCTGTCCATCGGAGTAACTAGCTTGAGATTGAGCGATTCCCCGGCCTTCTTGATCAATGTCACCACTTCATCGTGCGAAGACCATTTCACGTCTTTGTCCGATACGGCCACCACGAAATCGCCTTCTTTGATTCCGCCGAACTGAAAAACAAGAAAGTTTATTAAATGTTAAAGGATGATCCATCGTCAGGATACTGGATCTGGCTGGCTCTGGAGGCTTCAGGATGAATATAGAAGGTTCTGAATGGATATGGAAGGTTTCGGATGGATCAGGAAGGTTCTGAATGATTCTGGAATGTTCTGAATGGATCTGGAAGGATTCGGGTGTATCAGGAAGGTAAAGATGGATCTGGAAGGTTTGGGATGGTTTAGGAAAGTTATGGATGGATCTGGGAGGTTTCGAATGGTTCAGGAAGGTTATAAATGGATCTAGAAGGTTTCGAATGAATCAGGAAGGATTTGGATGGATCTAGAAGGTTCTGAATGCATATTGAAGGTTCTGAATGAATCTAGAAGGTTTTGGATGAATCAGGAAAGATCTGGATGGATCTAGAAGGTTCCGAATGAATCTGGAAGGTTCTAAATGTATCTGGAAGGTTTCGGATGTATCAGGAAGTTTAAAGATGGACCTGGAAGGTTTGGGATGGTTCAGGAAGGTTATGGATGGATATAGAAGGTTTCGGATGAATCAGGAAGGATCTGGATGGATCTAGAAGGTTCTGAATGGATCCAGAAGGTTCTGAATGGATCTGGAAGGTTCTGAATAGATCTGGAAGGTTATGGATGGACCAAAAAGGTTTTGGATGGTTGAGGAAGGTTAAGGATGGATAAGAAAGGTTATGGATGGTAGCTAATCGCTAATAAAGGAGAAGAAAAGAAGAAGAGGAAGAAGAAGAAGACGTTGATGAAGAAACTTACTTCTGCTAACGAATTGTTCTCGACGACGGCGACTATAACGGGAGCATCGCCGCGCAGCGAAAACCCGAACCCGTCCGTGGCTTTTCCTCGATGCAACTGTACTAGTCTGGGCGCCGTCCAATGTCTCTTCGCCGAGAATATGGCGATCGGTCCTAACGTTTTGAACAGGTCGCTGACGCGGTATTGGGCGAAATCGGGTGGCGTCAGCGACAACTGGAACTTTGTGGCGGCTGCAAAGGAAATAATTCAAACGTTTAGTAAGAAAACTCGGCACATCGACTAGTCCAAGAGTCGTGTAGGAATAGTGGAAGCGTACGATAATTGTCATCATCATCATCAACTAGTCCGTTTTCTACTTAGACCATGTCTGAATATAGGCCTCTCGCGATTGTCTCCAGTTTTCTCTAACTTGTGTTTTCTTTATCCGCGTTCGACCTGCACATTTCTTCAATTCCTCTTTCTTTCGCATCCTTCGAGGTCCTTTTTGCTGAATATTGCCTCCAGTTTCCCATTTCCTTATTCCATCTATTGTATTCTAGTACTTGGTTGGTTGTGGCCTGCCCATTTCCTTTTAAATTTTTCTGCTTGTTCAATCGCATCCAGCGCTCTATGCGGCTTCTTACCCATTCGTTGGTTTCTTGTGCACTTCGAAGAGGATTCCTATCATTTGTCTTTCCATAGATCGTTCAGTCTTTCTTATTCTGTCTAGATTTTTCTCTGTAAAGGTGCACGTTTGGGCACCGTATGTCAGGACAGGAAACAAAACAGTAGTTAAATAGGAGAGTTGTATTTACCTTGAATATGCGGGGGATCCAGAAGATCGCTAAAATCGTCTTCCGTTTCCGTCGATGTGTAGGCGTTCAAGGCTTGTTTATGGGCTAATCGGAGCACCGCAGTAAGAGCTTGTTTGCCTCTCAACTCCCTGCACATTCTGTGTTGCCTTTGGCCTTCTTCGAAGAGTACCAAAGCTTCCCTTAGATGTGCCCTTCCTACAAAATAAATTATTAACCGATTACTTTCATAATCAGTGCAAGAGTCAAAGAAGCGCAGAGAGGGTAAGAATTCAAGGAGGTATAGGAGTTGGTAGAAGAAGACTTGCGTGGTCGAAGGAAGAAGATGAGCTGAGTAGGTAAGAATTTAAGGTAGTAAGTTTATTGATTAATTTGTACGAGGGACGAGAAGAAGAAGAATTATATTCCCCAAAAAAACTCACCTAACAATCTTCTTTCGGAGGCATTTTTGGGCACTCTGACGTCCAATTGAGCGGACCCATCGACGTCGACGTGCACGTACATCAAAGTGTCTTTGGCGGCGTCCGACATCGACTCGGCCTCCTTGTGAAGCACGCCGGACGCCAGCAGATGGTGCGCCATTCCAGTGTAGTACTCTCTTTTGACCTGGACCAGCGACGCCCAGCTGTAGGGCACGAAATCGCGCACGTTGTCGTTGGCGATCAGCTGGACGACTTCGTCGTAGCAACCGGCCAGGTGGGCCGCCTCCTGGGACAGATCCAGGCAGACGTCCACCGATCTGCCGTCTTTGGATTGGAGCTGGAGCTTCTCGAGCAGGCATTCCCTGGCTTGACACTGCGACAGCAACTCGTCAAATTAACATTTGTATAGCTTTGATTTAGACGTACGTACCAGCATCAATTGCACGAACATCTCGAGCATCGTATGCCCCAGATCCATGGAGGGAGCGTTGGTGAAGTTTTCGTTTATGTACCGAAACGTACCAGCTGCTCGAAGGAAACTGTCCACGGCCGCGTCCAGACCTTTGGCCGTTGATCTGTCCTGCTTGGCTCCTATTTGTGTATACAAAGCGCCCATGTTGAATAGGACGCATGCTTTTTCGAAGGCTACGGTCCTCTGACAAGATGGCACACCTAAAATTCAATTTGTTATAGGCGATTATCTCTTTGGTAAATATATTTTTCTTTACAAAGTTATTTGATTCACTTATTAATTGTTTATTTCATTTTTTACTTCATTGTTTACTTCATTGTCTCTTTCATTGTATGCTTCATTGTCCCTTTCATCCTCCCATTCATTGTCTCTTTCATTGTTTACTTTATTGCCTTTTTCATTATTTATCTCATTGTCTCTTTCATGGCCTCTATTATTGTCTTCTTCATTGTCTCTTTCATCGTCTCTTTCACCGTCTCTTTTATTGTCACTCTCATCGTCACTTTCATTGTCTCTATCATTGTCTCTATCATTGTCTCTATCATTGTCTCTATCATTGTCTCTATCATTGTCTCTATCATTGTCTCTATCATTGTCTCTATCATTGTCTCTTTCATTGCATCATTCATTCATTGCCTCTTTCTTTCATATTCACTCGACATCGTCTCGTTAATAACTCACCTGTTAACGAATCGAACCATTCAAAGTAAATCCCCAGCGATCTATCGGGCGGAAAGAACCGCCTCTCCACGAAGTACAGCTGATTGTAATATCTGAACAACAGCGATATGCCGGAATTGTCCCTGAGCGGCGTCCGAATGGCCTGTCTGGTGTCCATGAAATCCGATATGGCGTCCTCGTGTTGGTTGGCGTCTTCGCTGTAGTGCTCCAGGATGAAGTCCTTGAAGGGATCCCGGAAGTCGATTTCCTTCGTTTCCTTCAGGCCTAACGGGATCATCGGCATCACGGCGTCGGTGCTAAAAATTACGATAGATTTCATTTCGACGACAAAACATTTAATTACAGCGCGAAAGATGAATAAATCTCCGTAAGTAGGGTATCAGCTACTCGAGCAGGCGCGCAAATAAATTAATATATGAGGTTGCGTGCTCGTATGAGTACGAATAATTTGTTGTTAAATACATACCTTCTAGCGATTTCAACGAACTAATAATGTTAATGGTAAATAGAGAAACCGAGACAAGCCAGTTATATGTTGACACGCTATAAAAATATCGGATGCGAAGAAGAATTACGTGAGATGAAGAAAAAAACGTAATGGTGCAATTAAAGAGTCGAGCTTCAGTGATAAGAGGAATTCATCAAAACTCGAAATGAACAAGATGGTGCATGGAAAAATCTTTAAATACCTTCAGATTAATATCTAATATAGCAATATGTGTACATGGTATATTAAAAATAATTAAATTATAATTGGTGTGTTGATCTGTTGCAATGTCTCGTCATTTTTGAGGTTTTTTTTTAATGTAACAATATCGCAGCTAATAAGAAGAAAAATTTTACAGTAGCGAGTGCAAAAGAAGAAAGTGAGGAATAGTAAATACTTTTGAGAAAAACATTATGTACCTATCTCAGAAACGATGTAATTCTCTGTGAAACATCAAATATACCTTCCTAGTAAAAGAACCTATAAAATAGGCTATGGGTGGTTAACATGCCCTATCAACAGGCCATTGACTATCCACTACTTACGGAACACCCTGTAGTTAATTCGATGAGATGATTCTCACTCTATAGGTATAGGTACAGAGCGAGATAATGACGCGGAAGTAGGTCAGGCCGAGAGCCCTGAGGCTCCGCGAACGGAAATATGTTAATAGTGTCGGTGTACGGTAAACGGTATCATTTGGCGATCAAGGTTATTTATACGCGGTAAATTTCTGTGTGTACGTGCGTGTTTGTGTATTTAGCATTTTACGTTGTGGAGATTCGAATGACCAGATGGTCCGGTTCGGTCGAGACGATCGCCTAAATTTAATCGAATAGAATGGACCGCGTTTGTATTGGCCTTCTTTTATTCGCCATTCTGTTGTAACGACATTGTTCATGTCGTTAACGATCCAATAAGTTTTAATCCCATAAAATAAAGTTGGAAAAAATGATCGGTGGATATGGTAAAAAAATTATAAATGGCACAAAGTTTATTTTAGGCCCAATTGTACTGTACGGATGCAAAGTTTGGACTCCAGGGAAAATACGTAGTATGGGAGAAGTGTGGGATAGAAAGATACTTTAGGAAGATTATGGGTGGAAAAAAAGATAGATGGTAACTTGTGTAATAACCGGTATAGTAAAAGTGCAAAGAATCAGATGATTAGGACATGTCTATGGAATGAGCGGGTACACCGATAGTATTAGAAAGGGAAATCGGAAGGAAGAATAGAAGAGACCCAACCCAAGGAGAGATGGTTAAAACAGGTGGAAATAGATCTGCAGAGTTTGGGAAAAAATAATTTGACAAAAAGCCGAAGATAGGAAAAATTGGAACAAGTACACTAAAACAAGTCATGGGTTAACAAGACCTGTAGGTCTAAACATATGTATATATTTATTTAAAAAAATATTCATATTCATACTCTTCTCCATATTGTTTGTTCCTAAAACTAGGCACAGCATAATTTTGGAATGCTGAAGGCGAAATAAAAATGCGATTCGAAACGTAGATAACAATAAAATACACATACATTTGTTCCGAGAAAAACAATTAGTAGATAGAATTTTAATGTATAATTTCCAAACTAATTGCATATTCCATTTGGAGAAACGAAACAATTAAAAGCACCGAGTAACGTTCCAAACGCGAAGTTCGGTGAATCACTAATAGTAAAAACGACCTTGAAATGTAACGAAAACGTACTTAAGCCGGCGAAAAAGAATAAAAATAACGCCGTGAATTAATTTGCATCGGTAACTACGGTCGAATTTAGAGTTGTGCCTACATCAGATAACCGCTAATTTACCTTTAATGAGTTGAACAAACTTGAAAGAACCGTGCATTGTTTCGCTCGCTTCCATTGTTACAGGGATTATTTAAGACGTTTAACCTTTGCGAGAATTCTCCCGCGATTTCGGCGATGACGGGAATTTTATTTGTACCTACCTCGGAAACAAGACACGATCATTAAACAAATAATATTAAGAATAGATTCAAAGTAGATTCAGAGTACATTCAGGGTAGATTAGGAGTAATTGTAAATTGATGACGAGTGTATTTAGTTTTGTAGATTTAAATCAGAAACCTTTTAGATTACTAAAGAATAAATAATATCAAAAGTAATTAACCTGTATTTGAAATGAAATTAAGACGATTAGAGCAAATATTTTAAAACAATTAACTTATCAATTTAGTGCAATTGACCCACATAATTCTTCGAGAAAAAATTACATAATTCTGTTATTACAAAACACTTTGCAACTTCTGCGGACGCATTTCTATAAAAGTTCATAATCCAGCTCACCTGTCGCTTTGGTACAATTCCACCGATGAGTTCAATTCGGCCAGCTGCTCCTTCAACAGCTGCAAATTAGAGTTGACGAAGCTGAGCTCGACGGCGACGGTTTCGCGCAGCTTCTTGTTCGTGGTCGCTTTGAAGAGGTTCTCGGCGCCCGCGCGCAATCGCAGCTCCTTGTTGATCTCCTGGTTCAGCTTCGACCGGCGGTTCTGAAGCTTGCCCCTGCATGTTGCCACTCGCGGATCCGAACCCTGCCAAGAAAAGACAATGATAAAATAATAGTAGTCTCCTGTTTTTTCTTATATGAGTTTTTTCTTAAACGAGTATTCCATGGAGTCGCCCGCTAATTTTTCGTTGCAATTCTCTATCTCGCATATTGTATCTCAGACTCAGTATCCACGTGTAAAAGAGCTCTTCAGACTTTTACTAATTTTTTATAATAATTAATCCATTATTAGTCAACCAGCCAGTTAAAGAGTTTATCCGAATCGTTACTCGCTAATTAAATATAACTGCATTTGAACGGAGCTAATTTTTAGATAACGGAGCGTTTCTTTGCATAGCCGATGTGACTAATTAAACGTTACGGAGGACGCATTTTTATGGTAGTTTTATTAATAAGAAAATATTCCTCGAAAAATTATTTCACTTCAACACAATTCAATTCGAGTGATTCCAAAGTCAAGTCGATGTTTCAAAATTTCTCACTCATTTTCATATTAGTGACAAAAAATATATTTCAAGAATAGATGGGATTATACAGGGTGTAGGAAAAAGGTTGAAACATATTGGTTAACTACAGACTTCTGAGACCAACATACATAAGATGATTTAACCTAACTTTATCCAAATGTGCTTGGTAAAGAAGTTAAACATGAAGGGTGTTAAAGATAAAAATGAGATTTTTAATATTGGACCAGATTGGCTGAATGATTTTTCATGAAAATTTATACAGAAGATTTATTTGTTTAATAACATATTTTAGTTAATTTTTTTTAATTATCTATCCGCCTCGGATTTAACAGGTGTTTTTAACCCCCTTAAAGCCATGACTCTTCCAAACACGTTATTAACCTAATTTTTTAATCGAAACTAGATTTACTTAATAATCCTAATATTTGTACAAAATGTATCTAAATGTTAAAAATTATAGATTTCCGTAATTTTAAAAAAATGTTCAATATGACCTTTACCTTTATTATACAGGGTGTTCCAAAATAACATGCTAATATTTAAGGGGGTGATTCTTGGACCCATTTTAAGAAAAGATCTTCACATGAACCTATGTCCTAAATGTCTTAACTTTTGAGATACAGAGTGTTAAAGTTTTAAGAAAAAAATCAATTTTTTGAAATAACTGTGATACTAGAATAGCTATCTTTATAAAATTTTGCACACGTCTTCTATGAATCAAGATGCATTTTCTGATGTACAAATAATTTTATTATTTTCAGCAGTGGAGTCCGTACGGGTTTTGCTTGGAATATTTTTGGAGAAAACATGGTAAACCGCTGCCTAATATTGAAATAGAAATTATTTTTGGAATCCTCATTCAATTTAGAACAAATTTGATTTCTCGACATTTTTCCGTACTCATCCGTACTCAAAATTAAAAAATAATAAATTTTAGGTTTAGAACATACGTTCATACAAAGTTTTTTCTTAAAATGGGTCCAAGAATCACCCCCTTAAATATTAGCATGTCATTATTTGAACACCCTGTATGTAAATCAAGAGAAATCAAAAGTCATCACAAGGAATTGTAAAAAAGGTGTAAATGATGATTTCACCCATGGATAGAATCACGAATATTATTCAATAATTTAGTACTCGATCAATAAATTTAATACCGATCGTCTTCGATGTAAAATGGGTATTCTGCGTGTGACAAAAGTCGTGTCGAACTAAAGGCGAAACGTGAGAACGTGACGATGCTATCGTAAAATTACAAATACTAATAATCGAAAATTCCTATAATTACGTAGGCAGTATACGAAAAAGCAGAAACGTGAACTTGAAACGGCTCGTTTCGATGGAAAAAGTTCCAGTAAATAATACGAAAATATTTACTATGCGGGAATAATTGTTTAATTTAAAAAGCACAATTAGTATAATGGAAAGTATAAGTAAAAATAGTATAAAAAGTGTAAGTAGATGAAGTCGCGAATTTTCGGGGAATCACACTGGATTTTCAGTCCATTCAGTCTCCATGGAAAAATATAAAAGTTTAAATTCTTATTTTAATCCATTACATATTGAACATATTGAGTTTTGCCTCTATTAAAATTGTATAAAATTAATAATAATGTCATTTTTAATAACAATCGCAACTTGATTTACAGAATTGTAGAAAATACCTTTGGTGGTCTATTATTTAATATTAAAAAATATAAACTCCCTACATGGTTGTAGAAAAAAATATCAAGATGATTTATTAAAAAATGGAATTAGCGCTTGAATATTAAAAAAAATTAATTCCTCACCCACATACTCACAATAATGAAGTGAAACTTGTAAACTCTTACAATGTACGGCGTAAAAATGAGTAGAATTCTTTACGCCAATGAGATTTCTCCACTAAAAGAATGAAGAAAGCGAGATGTAAAAATTAAGTAATTGCAATTGTTCATTTCGGTCTACCCCCTAACCCGGAATAAACGAATGCTACACAATTACTTAATAGAAAGTAGACTTACGAAATGATTGCAGGTCTCCCTATCCTTACTCTTATCCTTCTCCTTCTCCTTATCCCTTTTACCAGTTAAATTGCGAAGACTCTGCCTGTGCACCCACTTCAACATTTTTCCCGGCGCATTTTCACCGACTATATTCCGTCGTTATTGTTAGATCGAAAGAAACTAATAAAAATCGCCGAGCACTGCACATTTCAATGGCAAAATCGATATTAAAGACCGTCTTCCCGGCCTCGCGGAATATCAATAAACGTTAAGCTAAGTCAAACTTAAGCCGTCCAATGTAATAACAGTTCTGTCGCGATACGCTCGATATAGTGCGGTCGCTTCGTCGAGAAAAGTGGAACTTGCACGGCCGAAACGATAAAATGCGTTTTTAATTGTGGTATATCTAACAGTCGATTTTGTCGTTTATGACCTAGATGTATTTGCGAGCGAGTACAGTTGTTGAAATAAGACGATTCGTTAGATGCAAATTTGTGTTTTAGGCCGGGTAAATGGCGGGATTTTCGAGTTTTTCTGCATTGATTTATTTTTGATGTGTAAACATGTCAAAATAGAGGATTTTTTATCTATTTATTTAATATTAAATTTATATATAATTTGCATAATTTTGAATGCATAATTATGCAATAACATTGCAAAGCAACAAAATTTTATTTGTTATTACTAATTTATTTTATTCAGATGTTTTATTGATTTTCAACTCCTTCAATTGAATTTTTTGACAATTTTACTCATTTTTACAGATTATTTCTCCTTTTTCCTATACATGGTGTTTCTGAAATAAGTGCTTTGCTAGCAAGTAGGAAACCTCTAAATGTGACAAAAACTTAAATTTTATCGAAATGTCCTTGGTTATCGCTATACAGGGTGTTAAAGTTGGATTCTTGAAGAGGTATTTTTATTAATAATTTCATTAATACCGAGGGTAAAATGATGAAATTTGGTACACATTATAAGCAAATGAAATGTCTTACGACACTATTAAATCAGGTTAAAAAAGTTATACAGAGGTGGGTTAAAATGGTGGGTTCATGGGGTAATTCTAACCTAACTTTTTTACTTTAACCTTTTCTATTGATTTGTTTAAAGAATATGAAAAAATGAAGTTTTCTACATAGAAAAGGTATACTTGTTGATTTTCCGTAAAGTGAACCGTTTTGACGAAAACATTATTTTAAACTATTTTCTTTAAAAACCTAGTAGGAATAAATTCTGTCAAAAACTTGACATTTTGCTAAAATGACATTTAAGTTTTTGTCATATTTTGAGGTTCTCTACTTGCTAGCAAAGTTTGACCACTTATTTCAGAAATACCCTGTATTTTACTGGATTTTTAATCATTTTTACTGTAATTTTTACTCGTTTTCATCCATCTTTAATCAATTTTTATTGATACTACTACTCATTTTTGACTAACTTCTTTTACCATTTTTTACTAAATAGTTACTCTACTATTTATAACATTAAACCAATGCCACACTTAAAGCACTCATATTAACCAAAACGGTAATAAATTACCCGACTAACAGTATCACCTACTATTCGATTAGCTAGAATTGTTCCTTCATATCTACATAACACAGCCTTCAATCAAATCCGTGTCATTCGATAGCCAATTAGAAAATTCAGTAAACGAAGCTGGAATTAATGGAAGCCTTAAAAAAACAATCCGATAAAAAAATCGCACACGAGAGAAAACCGATGATAAATTACCGGGATATACTCCGTTCGCTATCAGGACATCGTAATAAAATCCAATTTTTCATCCTAAGGACTCGACAAAAATATATAAAATTTAAAAACATGTAAGGTGTGTGTGGTTATTTTACTTTAATAGGTAGGTACTTCTGTATACAGGGTATATAAAATAGGCGACCCTTTTCTAATCCCAGGTAAAGTGAACCTAATACAATAAACAGTAGTAATCCTGTGATATTAAATAGACACTAAAAAACATAATAAAATTAAAACTCCCTTATGGTTTACAGTATCAAGAAAATTTCATTACAATCTCTCGATGGCGAACGGAGTATAACAGTATCGCCTGCCGTTCGATTGGGTCTGTTTATTCACGTGCATTGGCTATAGGTTTGTTTATTTTTGTTTTATTCTTTGCATTTAATTCGCGATATTCGCTAAGTAGATTTGTGTCAGCTGTTTTTTGTTTTGCTTCGCAATTCCGAGCTCTCATAACGGAGTTATGATGAAGATATCTGTACAATTCGATAACAAAATCGGCGTTCGGATTGAATTGCTCGAATAGCGATTGACCTGCTGGAAAATTACATCATTTTTTGCAATGAAAACATTGGTAATTTTTATTAGTTTATAATTTTATAGCTCTCTGTAGGTCTCGTTACTTCACTAATACAGGGTGTCCCAATGAAAAGTAGTCACTTTAATGAGCTTATAATTTTTAAACGCTAAATCATAAAAATATGCAGTTTTCTCGAATATGTTTTATTTTATTATAAGCTTTTTATGTTATATCAAAATCTCCTCTTTTAAATTCACAGTAACCATTTTTTTAAAGGAACACCCCGTATATACAG